GTTGACAGACGAACGCAGAATGGTATAGGACTGGCTCTTATAATAATGCTTCGATAATGTTTAGCAGATTAATTCTAGTAATGATTTGGTAATTAACTTCGCAGTGCCTCGCAGAGCATTCACAGTGGAGAATGACACCCAGTGACTCGTAGTGCTGACAGCTGCTAGGATGATTGCTGCAGTGATTGTCACCTTTGTAGCTGATTTCATCTACGTTGGTCATCTTCTAATCGCACCCGTCGCAGTAGATACAGGTGTTTGAAGAACCATGGAGGCACCTCCCTGAATACTTAGAATCGGTACAGGCGCGGCGGATGGTAACGAAGCGAGCTGACAATAACTATACGTGCATGGCGTAATCGAGTGACCACATGGTCATTAGCTTATGACTATATAGTAGGTAGATCATTACCAGATTGATAGTTTATAGTGGAACTGAAGTCTGGATATGCAGGTCGTATCATATTCATTGTGAGTGAGTAGGCCACCGCATGGGAACTGTAGTGATGCCAGAGGTTAGATATGTACTTGGTAGCAGCGCTGTGATCAATGAGCTGAAGCGTGCTGGCAATCTGTCGTACAGAGCTGCTCTCCAAACCCGTACGACTCAAGCTGATGACAGATGAATAAAACATCGGAAAGAGCGGACAGAAGATGTCCGTAACAATTCAATATACGATGAGTAGTACAATTTTAGGAGACCGTATCGAAACGGTACCTATATGTTGTTTAATTTTATAGTCATAATTTGCCAAGAGTTGCGATATCATCAACTGATTTATTGGTTATATACACCAATAGATTGGTAATCTAATTATAGTGTCTAGGATGTACAAAATAAAGTCTTACACAATTCACATACAGTCGTTGGTGAAGTGTTAAGTGGCGCAGGCGGCACGTTGCACGCAGATATGTGGCAGCAAAATATCAATGACGACTCCAGGAAAGATTACGAGATTTCACGTGGCTAGTGGCGTAGAACAAATTTCCCTGAAGAGACAACGTTAGCATACCCAGACAACATTGAGGTCCGCTGACTTCTTTATAGTGGTAGTCATACGATACAGGGCGCCTACGAAGTTTTCTAGACGTTGTATTACAGGATTATCCGCCGAGTTGGGACAGCATTAGTGTTACAGCGATGTCATCATTGCATACGAGGGCGCTGCTGCTCTCATCGCGTAGTCAGATGCAAAATGTAGTAGTCACCTCAAAACGCAGTATCTAGCTAAATCATATAGGAAGAATGACACCTCCATAGCTAGATTATGTTATTATGCATACCTACCTACTTTTAATGTTTGATTATCGTCAGAAAGAAAAATAATTATTCAGTATTACAATGAATCTAAATAAGACATTATAATATTATTATAGTATATTACAGTGTTATATTTAGATTAACGCTCTGATAGATCTAGATGTTATATTTTATATAATGAATTAGTTATTTGTAACCTCAGTACATGTCTAGTTTAAGAGTATTAAACAATTAAATCTTACGTAGTTTTTTGGCAAGAGCATTGCAGACACGTTGCAGACGCGTAGGAAAGTAGTAGCAAGCGACGTGCGGAGAGTACGATGAGCAGCGCGGACTCTTGTCACCGCCACGCGAGGAACGTGTAGCACGCTGCGTGCGACGAGATCGGTAGGTAGTGCGGGCTCACGTCGCCGCCGACGTGAACGAAGAGCAACGAGCGACGACGTTGAAACGTAGCGCGAGCTGTCGTCGTAGCGAGGAATGTAGCATACGACGTGCGTCGAAGTCGGTAGACACCGCGAGCTCTCGTCGCCGTACGAAGAACGAAGCGGCGAGTAACAAGGGGTAGGTAGCATGAGCACCCGTCGTCGCTGTGTGAAGACCGTGGTAGCACGCAGCGAGCGTCGAGGTCGGTACGTAGCGAAAGATCTCGTCGCCGCTGTGCGAAGAACGCGGTAGCGAACCGAGGTCAGTAAGCAGCGCGAGTCTCGCTCTTGCCGGTGCCGTGTGAAGATATCTTACGCAGTGGACGTGTCGGGTAGGACAATTTGCTATGAATAGATGGCATTAGTATAGCGAGGCAACGGTGAGGACCGCTGACTATTATTGACATATATTATTAACATATACCAGTCTTGTGGACGACACGACGTTTTGGGAGATTTGGCTGCGGCGCTGAGTCAGTATCATACCACTCAATGCAGAGTAAGGCTGTTGCTCTTGAGTAATCAGAAGCAATAAGTAGGCCAATTCGACATATCTAGCTAAATCATACAGAAAAAAAAGTACCATACCTCGATCATGATATTAAGATATACTACAATTACGTACTTAATTGTTGTTAGATAAATATTTTTTACCTCTATAGCTATATTATAGAAACAATAGCTAATTGTAGAATAGTAGCCTGAATTACGCAGGCTATATGACGGTTTTCCTGGATGGCTGGCGGAAGTCGATGCGCCACGATGAAATCTACTGTAGCTACGTAGTGATCAATGAGATGGCCATCAAACATCAAGCGGTCGCTGCGATAACCCATCACCGTTCTTCATAGCGTGCCATGAATGGGCAGGCGTGGGTAATCTGCCGAAGCTACTCTCCGACACAGCCATGATCACGACATGCTGCTAAAAGATAAAATTACGAAAAAAAGCAGACAAATGTCCGACACTACTCAAATTCGTAATTGTTCATGGATGTGAAAGTTGAATTTACAGACCGTATCAATACGGTACATTATGTTTATATTACATTGTTTTATTTGTATAGATTTATTTATATAAATTTTATCATTATCTAAATGTGTGTAAGAAATAATAATAATAATATGTAGTCTAATCTAGAGTATAAAAAACGTTTGTAAAGTCTTACACGTTTTGGTTTGGGAAGTGCAGACACGTTGCGTGCTGGAACGTGACAGCACGCAGTCAGCAACGAGATTGAAGGTCAGCGTGATCTTTCACCCTCGCCTGGGGAGGAACCTGGCAGAGTTACCAGATTGCGAGGTGGTTGGTAAGTAGCGCGAGCTCCCGTGATCGTTATGCGAAGATGTCAAATCTTCTATTTTGTAGTATAAGTTGATTAGCAGCGTGAAGCAAATTCATCTGAATAGACGGTATTAGCACACGGTGCCGCGGTGGTACTATTTAGTCAACTGTGTGGTGCAGATCGTCTACCGAGATTTTGATGTTTGCAATAAGCTCCTCCCTTGCGTAGAGCAGTAGTTTATCATTCTGTGATGAGGGACGTAGACCCTAGCTAAATCATACAGAAAGACAAACACTTCCATAGATCGTTTATGTTATTAACCTACTAATTTTTATTTGTTCATATATTATATCAACTACGTACACAAAGATCAGTCATAAAGCAGGATGCATTATGAGAAACGTGCAATAGTAAACTTATTAAATACACGAAACGAAAACATTTAGATATCATTAGTATAAAATTAAATCACATCTCAATATTTAGATAAGAAATAATGAAATACATTCAAATAATAGTATACTAAAATACCTATTAACATAATAAGAAACGATAAACGTGTGCCCAGTTCTATCTTCTACAATGCAATCGGTCATTGAAGCTTGCAGATGTACTTAAAGAATTGTATTCCAAAGCTGTAATTTTGGATTTCCAAAGCACGTAATGTTACTTCACACAAAAACTCCTCATCGCAAAACTGCACAACCTTTCTAAACAAATAGAAATTTTTGGTTAAGCAAATGACTGCTGGAGCAGTCTAAATAAATATGTATTACTGTCTATTTACAATATTTATAAAAATAAATAAAATGGTAAATAATTAATATTATTTACAGGTTAGAAGCTTACCAACGGGTAGAAAACAAATCAATTTTAAATCATGATGAGTTATTTTACATTCGTAAATACTTCCATTCAGCATCATAATTAGATGGTTTGCAAAATAATTCGGGACCCTTCAATCAGTAACATATACGAAACACTTATTCAAATTATTTCGTCACACAATGATTAGTGTCATTGGTAATAATTACAAAAGTTATCACACAACATTTACATCCTTATTTGCCATTTATTTCTTTGTTATTTTAATTATATTTCTCTGTTGTATTTATGTTATTAGGTAGTATATTTTCTATGTTAATTTTATTACAGGAACACTGCAGTACCTTACTGAAACAAAATTTTAACGCAAGCCTACACGTATGTATCGCTGTGAATAATTCAGTTCCTCCAACAATATTCTTTACAGCAAAACTTCAATGCCATCCACCAAGCCACAAACAGAAACAGAAAGGCGTGTGTAGTTACAGTATGCAGTTTTCAAGATGCTATGGGTCCAATTTTAGGCAATAAAGTTCAATATCATCCCGTAGCTGCCGTATTACTTATTTGTACTGTGACGTCGACCAATTCACACATCTTACGCAGCAAGATTGTCAATTATTGTCAACCAATGAGCCAATAATACTACCTAGCTGTAGGTACAGATTATAGACACGAAAAAATGGGTTATGCAAACAGTTATTAAAAATTCAAGAAAGTAATATATGCTTAAATAGTTATATTATGATAAATGATTAAGATCCTTGTATAAATATATTAACTCATTTCACAACTCATTGTACTCACAAAAGAAGTATAGGAATTGAGCCTGTTACATAGACTTAGTTAGGACTCCTTTTTTGTGTTTTCCACTATTGATGCTTTTCAAAATATGATTATATAATTTATTAGTGTCCTTAATTACAGCCTCGGACCTCGTAGACTACGTCATTTGAACATTATTAATAACATTTTATCATCCTTTTATATCAGCATGTGTATTTTATAGTATTTCTGGATACCTGGAAGCTAAGTATCAGCCGAGAACTTGCCAAGATTTTCAAAGGGACTATCCATTTGTTAGAAATGGCCGAAGTTAACAATAACAATGAAGAAGCTCCGTATGATTTTTTTATTCATCCGTCCAGAAAATATATTATTTGGAGATATGCATTACAACTTGTCGTCGCATAGTGCACGTTATGTTGTTTATACTTAAGAATTGATGTGTACAGGTAGATGATGTATGTTCATCCAAATTTTATTCCTCGATCATCAGATGTTTGTTTTATTTAATGACTTAATTTCAATATTTTGTAAGGATAAGTTTAATTCATTATGTAAGATATAGTTGGGATTGTGCGATTTCACCACGAGTCCAAATGATATCTATTGCCTAATTAAATATATCGTTCATTCTGAAAATCAAAGGTCTAAATGTTATACACATCTTTGTCCCCTATTAATTAGGAGATATTCATTACAACAAGAATTAGATAGCGTACATATACGTTTCACAGAATTTGTAAAGAAAAAATATGGTAGATACTTTTTATTGATGGGTATCATTCTAAAATGCAGAATTTCTTGCATTCGAGACAATATTGTCACTACTTATTGCTAATAGATTTTATTTTCCTACTTAAATGCCCCCTCAATAAAAAAGAATCTATAATTGTTTTTATTTATTTGTAGAATAAAGACAAAATACCAAAATATTTACGCAGTGAATGCAAGTGAATATATGTCAAAGAGAAAATTGATATAAGATTGCAAGCGATAGTTACTACTTTCTATCAGATGGACAGCTTGCCTTTCTAACACAAGTCTATTAGAGTGAAGAACTGCAGTTTGATATCGGTTCAATAGATATTGTTGACACGGCTAAATAGGACTTAGTATAAATGAGAACTTCACTTACCTACATTTGTCTTAAGAGATTCCTTTATAAATTTAGTATTACTTGGTGGGTCGTTCACAAATATTAGTGTTATATTAACTTTATATTCGAAGAATTGCTATAACTTTCTATTTTTGTGTACTGGGACTTTTTTCCTTGAATGCAGTGTTTTAATAGTTTTTTGCGAAAGCTATAGATTGCAACTAATGTAACCGACTATGACCAATACGACTTATCTGGGTGAGGTGTCGATGGTCCTCTCTAATGTCAACTGGATTCTGGCTAGCCTTCGGCTTGAGGGCTTCACCTTGCTTTTGTTTTATGGGTGGGAGACGTGAATTCGTGGTTCACGACTGCCTCAGTTCCCAATCCAGTCAGCTGTGAAGTTTGCACATAAAAAATCATATATTACCGACACAGAAAGGTAGTCATACATTATATAATACATTTTAGAAGTTTTGCAATTACCCAAAATAAAATTAGTAGAAAAATAAGATTATTTTAAAGAACAGAAATTAGTTCAAGATTACTACATCAAACATACGTTGATAAATCGTAGTTTTGTAACTCAACGTTGTACAAATAGTGTTAATTTAATCAGGTATAATTTCTCAGTAGTCTTATTGAAATTAGTACCAAGATTGTAAAATAAATCAGTTTGTTAAAACCAGTAACTTACCATTATATTCTCATCCGAGATATTCAACCCAGTGGATTCCTATACTAATTTTATTTTCCATTGTTTAAGGATAATGTTGTGGTATATTTGCCTATTTTTATTTGTATATAGATATTTGCAGTGTTTGTATTTGTAGACGTTCTGCGTTCCTCATGTTAATCAGCCCACTCGTCAATGTGCGGTTTATTCCAATTTCATTATGGTATTAATGTGCCATTTATTTCAAATCCTATACTATTTCTACTTAGAATTGTATTAAAATATATATTTGCCTCATGTGAGAGACAGACAACACTAATTACCAGGTACAAGTAAGCTTGTAACTTCAATATAGCATGCAAAATTATAATCATTATTGTAAAATGTTCATTGACCTGTATTACCTAAATAGTGAAAGCTGCCGCCGTCATGACGGCCGCTGTGGACTGCCGGGTCGTTAAAACACCAGCAGTTGGTCGAATACCAATTACAGCTTGTTTCTAGTCTTCGTAACGTTTGCAACGGTACCACCACGGTAGTAGGAACGCGTGCTTTCGTATGCCTGTATGGGTGTAACATTATTTACCTAATAATGCCCGCAGGCATTCCTTTTGATATGACAGATATGCTACAATCATATAGCTACTAACTAGATATGTTTATATTGAAAATTAACCAAGTTGTTTCAACTTTTCTAATAGTTAATTCTTGTAAACAACAAACGACTCACCATCTACGTCATCTTATTAGTCATAGGTATAGACGATCGATACTATGGAAGTTTCCGCGTGCGCTCACGCAGTAGTCAGCCGTAGCCCTGTTGAAGGCCGATGCGGCAGCGTTTCAAGTAGAAATGGCTGTCATCTGAGGTCTAAAGACAAGGTTATACGAATGGGCCCGCGCGCGGGCCCTTGACATTTCCTAAACAGAATGTAATTGTGACGCAATCGCCTAACGTTTACCTAGTGGGCTGACAACCGGGACTATAGGGACTCGTTTCCGCGGCGTTTACCACGAGCAGCACCAGTGTGCAGGTGTAGCATGTGCAGCAAGCAACCGATGCGCCACAGCTAGTCGCCACTCAGCAGACTAACACTCGAACTCGATCACGTGACGCCAGCAACATGTCCATATCTCTCCACGTTGTGACGATGACTCATGGAATAATACATTTGTGCGTGGTGAAATCACAAGTAAATAAAAAGAAAATGAAGTACAGAAATACGACAATATTTTTTTAAAAATTCTTTTATTTTCATACTTAAACATATGTTACAATTTTCTTATTCAATATGAATAAAACTTTGATTCCAATTTTACCATTAAGCAATAGAAAAAAATTGAAACATTAAGGTACAATATTAAAAGACTAAATAAATAAATGCATGATACCGTTACAAACCCATTTTGCAGTTAGCAGCGACCACGCCCAGCGGCAGCCAAGATGGCGGCCGACGGATGCAGACCCACGCGAAACGCAATGGGACTGTAATTTAGAAAAACATCCTACATAGTATATCACAGATAAAGATTTTTACATTACCTAGTAGTAAGTACTTAGTTCACTATCATTGGTTTGACATTGTCTAATTCTTTGAAAAAACTATCTAGACCGCTGAGATCATTCTTCCATATGTTATCGATTTTTTCTCGCTGCTGCCTGGCCACTTCCTCCTCCTTATTTGATAGTCCAAGGTCTGCTTGCATTTGCGCCCACCTTCTGGCACGTTCCCTTTGTTTCGTAACGAGCTCGCTCTCGGCACGTGATAGAGAGTTGCTCAAAATGGCGATTATTCTGAGATCACGTTTTTTCTTTGTCTTGACACTGAGAGATTTACTTTTAACTTGACGTACCCAATTGGAGAGAGATTCGGTTTTACTCTCACAAAAATCAACAACAGATTTATCATTTGTAATGTAACCCATGGTTATAGATTAAAATGGGTTAGATATTGCTGTGAGACAATATTACACACCTGAATCCGACAGGCTATAGAGAGTTCACTTCTTGAAAAACTGGTCACTTCACATCACAAGCGCACGTTCAAACTACACCGAGGATGGGAAATCAATGAGGGCGCTGACGTCATGGGGGCCTTATATAGCCGCGGGCAAACGGGGCCAAGCTGCGCAGTTGTCTACAAAATGGCGGCGACCTGCGGCGGCTTCCACAGCGTTCCACCGAGGTGGGGGACGAAACCGTGCAAGAATAGACGATCAATGGATATGTTTCGGAATAATGCTCTGGGAATTTTATTACTGAACGTATTGCATAATAATTTTAAATATCGTATAATCGACATTTAATACAATATCATTAATATTAAATTAACTTTATGACACCGTAATTGGTAGGTACTAAAATATATTTCTTTTGTTATTTTAATTTTTGATGGAATTTATGTCATAACGACAATTGATAGATGGATATCATTAACTGAATTTGATTTATCAAATAGGTATAATATGTCAAATGATTCTACATAACGCACTAATAAAATATAAACTTAATTTGTATATTTCGTATCATTACAACATATACCTACTGTCGTGAAGCCATTAAATATAAGAAAAGATTTTAGTTACATTTTATCTGTCAAATAGTTGTATACAATTTTTAGTTTATTAAAGCCTAATAGTGGGTATTCTAGTTTTAATTAATAATTCAACACTATATTCATATCATATACATATATAGGTATCGTCACTATTTATCAGTATATATTGAATATCATAATTTATAATATTCGAAGAAACTCTCTACGTCCATTCTTATCTGGTTTTCTTCTTAAAAACCTTTTTTAAGCCATTCATTCGTAGATACCACGGATAAGAGAATACACATATTAATACCAATTTTATATCAACAGTATAAATCCGAAACACATGTTTTATCCGCATTGAAGATAGAAGGTGAACCAAGAGCGGGAGTATGGAGCTCGGGACGGGGGAGTATCGACCTGAACGCAAGGCAGCTGAACCCGCAATAACAACTGCAAATTCCATTTTTCGAAAAACAGGTTACTTATTATGAGGCACCTATAGTTGATTAACTTTTGGAGAAGTCAAATGTTCATAAATAACAATAATAGCTATTTTTAGATTACCTAACAACTATACCAATTTAATAAGGCATAAATTTTAAATTTAAGTTGAGATCATCACGAGAATCTAAATCACATTCTAGTGATGTCATAGGCCATGTCACAGGGTGTCATAGATAAACAAACATGATTTAAAAAAATTATCTACGTGTTTGATACGAAGTAATTACATTAATTAGCTTTAAAAATTTTACACAAAAAAAGTGTAGATGTTTGGTATCACACACACCAAAAATTTCTAGACATCTGCTTACCTACATCACAGATAAGATAATAATACCTACATTGTTAGTTTCTTCGATCGATCATTTTCAATTTAATTTTATTCAAAAACTTTAATTCTGAATTCTGAAATTACAAAGAGAGATCGTAAGAAAAAGTAAAAGCAGTTCAATTGCCGACATCGATTATATATACGTAGTTGTAAGAACAAATTATAATAAATATATATATATATATATAAACAACAACAAATTTATTTTTTATTTTAAAATATTATGAACACTGTTACTTGCATAATAATGAAAAGACGTATTTAATTTTCTACGATAATTACTTCTTTACTTCTAATGTTTAGCAAGATATCCCATTAGGTACAAACAATAGAAAAGTAACCGTTACAAAATATGGCATCTAAAATCTCAAGACGGCAGGTAAGATTGTGAAATAAATAACCCATTCCATTGAAATCAACTATGTATGGCACATTTCATAATGCGCCATACTAAACTGGGGTCAGGTAAAAATACCAAATTTTACGGACAAAAGATGTACCCTACTAGAGGGAAACAAATGCCTACAAACTCTTCGGGTTAAGGGTGCTTTGTTGCACGTGGGAATTTTGTTCCCTAGTTTTTACCACGAGAGTCTATCATACTACGTACGTATAGGATATAGGTATAATAAAATGTGTTCAATATAATACAACAATTACTATAAGTAACAATACTTGAGTTAGTCTAAATATATTAGAATGTTACAGGAAAAGACATTATTCTTTAATCTACCTTTATAATTATTAGCATGACTCAATACGGAGAAATAACAATGAATAATTTCATTTGGCGCAGTTATTTACAAATGATTCAGACAGATATCTGGAATTTATTTTATCATATTCTGAAATAATCCTTAAGGCACTCAGCCTAAAGCTTAATATCGTTAAAAGTGAACGTCAAGACCAATGGCGTAAAACCAAGCTGACGCTGTGACGCACGCTCCCCACTCCACCTCTGCAGCGGCGCGGCGTCCTATTATGCGCTGACGTCATGCCTCGATCGACTGAACTGGACCGGTTTGTCATGGCCGTTGGATTTCGCTGGCAGCTGTTCTACCCAATGACAATAATTATCATCGTTTTCAACCGCCACAATTTAACCGACAATATGCAATGAGCAAGGTTGAAAGAAGGAAACAACATTAACTCTTAAAAAACTGAGAACTTCGTTCATTTTAATGTCGATTATCAAGTCTAAGAACGTATAATATAATGTATAATTTATTTAAATAATTAACTAATTACATACTCTAATATTATTTGACTTCCTTTTAAGAATTTGTTGAATTTTAATAAAAAGAACGCTGTGGCCTAGTAACCTGAACTAAAATCAAGTCGACAGTAAAATAAAATATATTTCTTTAGTCAATTCTCTGAAAACAAAATTTTGAGATCGCCAATACTCTTCGTAATGACTATCTCAAAAATTTATTATAGATATGGCAAATTTCCCTGAAACTAGTAGGATGACTTCGCCTGCTTTCGAATAGAGAAAGATTTGTATAAACAAGTTCATCCATTAAAAATTTATAACTATTCATTTTCTAATATATAAAATTCTCGTGTTGCGATGTTTGTTACTAAACTCCTTCAACATGGCTTTACCAATTTTTATGAAATTTTGTGTGCATACTTATCAGGTACCCACCTGATAAGTATGCACACAAAATTTCATGCGATGTTTGTTACTAAACTCCTTCAACATGGCTTTACCAATTTTTATGAAATTTTGTGTGCATACTTATCAGGTGGGTGGGTGAGAATCGGCTAACATCTATTTTTCATACCCATTAATAATAAGAGTGACGCGGTCCACTTCTAAGTAGATATATTTCTTTTGATAATTTTGTTATTTTATTTTGAATAATACATACAACCCTTAAATATGCACCGTTATACCAATAACCCCTTTTTTAAAAAGTGATATCGATTTATGTATATTCTATATACCTACTAGCTGACCCGGCAAAACAACGTAATTCTGATGCATAAAGCATATTACTGTAAAGTTTCATCAAAATCCGTTCAGTAGTTATTGCGTATTATAATATTAATAATAAGATAATCTTTATATATAAAAATTAATTGTCACGTTGTTTGTCCACGATGGATTCCTAAATTACTGAACCGATTGTAAATTTGCAAAACATTGTGTGCAATTTGATTCAACTTAAGATAGGATAGCTTACATCTCAATTTATAGTCGCAATATTATTTTATTCAAGAATATTAGTCACAGCAACGCGTGGCCGTGTCTGCTAGTATATAATATAATGCCAGTGTTAGTTAACAGTTTATTGATAAAGTTTTATGTGTACTTGGTAGGTTTGAGATGAGGAATCTAATTTTTACGGATAAGAGTGGCTCACAATATATAATTTACATTTATCCTTTGGACATACTTTTTTATGAGACGCCTTTACGAAATAAATACGGTTAGTATAAAGTTTCACCCTTCTACCATCAACTCCTATTTTATCTTAATTTACATATCCGGCAAGCTAGTATAGAGTATGTCACTGAAGCGCAATACTACTACTAGCGATTGAACATATCGTTTAATAAAAAGGTGTTATCGTTTTTTTATTCTCGGATTCTACTCTAATTCTGTTAGCTGCAGCTGGCCTTTACAGCTTCAACAGACGATAGGGGGCAAGTGCAGATGGCACTACAAACCCGCGGAAGGATTTATGGAGCGGCTGAAGCGAGCGACTTTAGTCTGAGGGCACTGCTAGGGGTTCGAACCTCGGCTGAGGCCGTCGTAATATCGATCCCCATTTGAATTGGACGGGGGATCGATCGGAGGGGATTACCTTTTTTATTGAATGATTCAGGCGCTGGCTACCCTTTGAAGCATGTAATCAAAGACTTTCCACATCTTCGTAGATGACATTTACATACAAAAACGCAATTTGGAAGGTTTATACATTTATTTAATTTTTTTAATATAGATATAAAAATAGTTATGAGGTAACAATTCTTATATTTGACTAGTAACAATATGTGCATAATACAATTCAATATTTAGAAATCGCTGTATACAAAACTACTTTTTAATTCATAAATATATCCTTTGTACTTTTTAGTACAACTTCCACATTCTGTACATACTATGTACTTCAGTACTGTATGTACTACATTGCTATAGCACGAACAGTAGTTAGGTCCTTGTCTTCTTATTTACGTCGTAGCATGTGACATGATCAATTTCTGTAACAAAACAAATAAATTCAGATATACAATTCTATGAAAACCAATAAAAATACTAAGTTATAATAAAATTAATTATTGTAAAACTGCCATGTAAAAAATCTAAATAACGAAGGTTTGTATGGAAATTCGTTATTTTCGAAGCTAGGGCGAAAAACAATTTATTTGCTTTTTTGGGTTAGATTATAAAATTTTTGTTTTATTTGCTTAATGCCACCATTCCACGCGGACAAAGTTGCGGGACCAGCTAGTATATAATAAATGTTAAAGCAATTAGATAATGTATTAGTTCTGTAGTCGCAACAAACTCAGTGATGATAGAAAAAGCGTGACGGATGTCACCAGCGATAGATAAGACCACCGCTGTAACGCTTGGCACTGATAAGAGAACTCTAATATTGATTTATACAGGACTAGAATATATGAATCTTATTCGGTGAATATAAATTTTATACTGTTTATTCTGCATACATTAGTACTATAATATATATGATAGACAACATCATTTAAATTATACCGTTGCGATTAGCGATTTCATCAATCAGTCAGATATCTTTCTGACTGATTCTCCAGTAATAGAAATATTTGTAAAACCAAACATGTCGAGTGACGCCTATATCAGCCCCATTTGGCATAACAGTTCTAAAAGCTAATAAAATTAAAACGTGCGTAAAGAATTAAAAGAATCTTATTGTTTACTTTTGCCTTTACTATTAGTAGTCAAGATAATAAAGATGTTTTGTTACATTTTATTTTTAAACAATACACTCAGGTAGGGACCATTGTCTAAAAATAAAGCAGGCAGGCAGCAAGCAGGGTAGGGTCGGATGTAGACACATGTAAATATAAAAACATTTGATGAACACTATTGAGTACTCCACCCCTATTCATCACAAAGTTAGTTCTTTTAATAACTGAGAGCACAATTTCCTCACCTTGATAGGCTGCAAGGCGTTGGTGAGTTGAGTTCCCAAACTCCTAACGAGGACAACAGGAGGCAGATCCACAGTATATAGCCGGTATAGCGCATCGACTGCAATCTGCGTTGGTACATTGTGTCTCTGGCGCGAAGTCTCGTACTTTTGTAGCCAGCTATCATGAGCTGTTTAATAATATCAGTAAAGTTAGTATAATTTTTATGAAGATAGCAAACAAGCTGACAGGGCCATATTATAGAACATCGGCACAGTCGTCTACATAATAATAACCCAAGACAATTTACAGAGCATCATCTAAGTCTTCTTAGCTGGGGACTGTCCAAGCTATGAAGACTTTGTGTTATGGGTACTAGACAACAATGGGTACAACTGATAGATATATACATTTTTTTGAAAATACCAAGACATTACAACCGTGTTCATGAATATAAATGTTTATACCGTGCGTGATATTGAACACGTGATTATCGGAGGTATGGCGGTGCTATACCGTCAGAACACTGAGGCCGTCAATATATATGAACAGTAGTCATGTGACGCCTGTAGTACGGTCATGCATTGTCAATTCCTCTATATTTAGGTGACACACCTCCATACTCTGCCATTACAGCATTTTTCGGACTACAAGAGTAAGTAGTACCTTTAAACCTTATAAAAGTACCTTTTTACATAGAATACCCAGGTTTTCTTTATATAATGGTAAACAAATTTATGGTAAGTGGCATCCATCGCCTCATGGATGGATCAACATCACATATATTACATCAATTCTCAAAAAATAATTGTAACGGAAAGTAAATAGTTAAGCAGTAAATATGTAGTGTTTTAAATAGCTGGAATGGCACATAAGGTTCATCTGAATGTAAATGGTAAACGATATCTCGGTATATACATGAACAGCACCACCATGATCTTGTGCCGCCCGTCATGCCAGTCATGCGTTGTTATTCCAGAGGACTAAGATATATTTCTACTGCCTTGTCTCCTGCCTCAACTGAAACTCACTATATTAAAATAGTATAATACTCATCTCAGCAATCTGCAAGTAGGTTATGTACCCACGCATGTGATGATGTACAAGATAACTTTTCCAACGTAGACTACGTTGGAACAAAAGTTATCTTAAGACAAGAGGCATACATAATTTTTATGATTGTCTTTTCAATTCTTAATAGCTTATACTTAAGTAATGCAAAATTAAAAATAATTAATAAATGTTCCCATTAAGTAATTAAGACCGTAGATATGACAAGGAATTGACAACAGACTCATTAACAGAGAACCAATAAAGTAATTATCAGTATGCTACAAGAATTTATATTTGACCGTTTATTGTAATAATAGTAAATACTTAATGTATGTAAACAAATAATTAGTACCATTTCAATATGAAGGCATTGGACAGCAACAGATTATAAAACATTTTATACTGTAAACTAAACATTATCTTTGATTTCGTTGTAATCTTTTGCTTAACTTTAATGAAATTTGTCACATACAAAATAAAGATTATGTCCATATCCCAATACACATAATGCATGTTTTATTTTCAAAAACCAGATGAAGTAGGCTACAGCTAATCCGCTTTCCATCCTTTCCGTCTCCGATGACTCTTCGATTAAATCTTTTAAACTACGCAACGGATTTTGATACAGTTTTAGCAACAGATATAGAGTGATTCAAGTGGAAGGTTCATATATATAATGCATGTACAGCCGTTTGAAGCAAATAGCTAGTTAGTTATGATTGTTTTTTAGTTAATAATTTAGAAATATAGAAAGACATTTTTTAAATTAACTGATAATACAGGCGTTTTGTCACTTCGTCTTTTGTACTAAAATTGTGGACAAGTGTTATTTTAATATACAATTTCATAAAAGCTTTCACCAATATAAAGTCAGAATATTAATACGCTCAAATAAATATACGTGATTATATGAGCTCAGACTAGAATATTTTTTAAGTAACTTGACTAATCAACTGTATATCAGCAGCCTATGATTTTACATACTTATATCTAATCCCATATAGATGGCATCTGCGAGAAATTCGGTGAGATCCTTTACGTCCCCGAAGCCGAGGTTAACACCTTGTCCTGCCAACGGGTGCACACGGTGCGCTGCATCACTGCAAATAAATATCTACAGTTTAACCATTTATTGCATCAGGTTCGATACTCATACGATACAAACATTTGTATTCATCAACACGGTTGTTGCATTGGATTCTCGTCTGTATATTAAGTATTTAAAAAAAAAGAAATAAGGATGTCTATTATTTGTCTACTTGTCATAGCACAAATTATGCTTTGTTTAGGACTAGATGACACTTAGTAAATAGTTCAGAGTAATAAATATCTTTAATTGACGAGGTAGACTTTGGTAAGAAATTATCTGCGTACATTTGGCTCAGCTATTTCAATTGCCAAGCAGCTTGCTTTGTAAGCCGTTTCAGTTAAAGGGTTAGGCAGTCAATCTATAGGTTGCAACGGTATGCCATTATCAAGATATCATTACATCTTACTTCTCCGGTCTTTTAACGCATGCTGGGTACAAGCGTCACATGGCGATGTGATGATTGTAGTTTTATATATATACAGGTGGTTGCCATCTGCCATCAGCTGGGCCGTCAGCGTGTTTAGCATTACAGTTAAGTAAAAAAATATCTTTACAGTTATTTACCCGACAAGAGCTACACCAGGGGCGATATATCTGGTGCTGTGGCCAAAACCGAGCGGAAATCCGGCGCGGGAGGCCGGTACGACACTTTCTATCGACGGTGGCAATTGCCTCGCCGCGCCATCCGGCAGCCCGAAGCTCTTTAGACATGACCCGAACCAAGCTGTACACGCTTGTACTGCACTGCTGTGTGGGTAATGCTTCCACTGTGGGCCCGTTTTAGTACAATGTCAATGGAATTATTGCAATTTATAAAGCTTAATTAATTAAGCTACTAATACATTGGACTAGGAATTTCGTAAATATTTAAATTAATACATCTAGCGAATATAGCGAAGCCTCTGCTTCGACGTATATAAAATAATTGCCATTTCATATTCTAATTAAAATTAAAACGTAAAAAAATCTTTTGACAAAGTTGGCAAGGGTTGGAAAGAGAACTCTTTCAGTCAAGAAATTATTTAATAAAAATTATATGGAAGATAAAATTTTTGAAAAGTAAAATTCAGCCACACTTGCTATTTAATTATTTTGAATCTTTCTGTAGGCGAATGTTTTTTATAAACTAATGTTATGTTTTTTGTTGTTTGGTTAAGTATATTATAGAAAATATATTTTTTAAAAGTTAATGGTAAATTACCAAAGCGTCATTGAGTTCATCTACGAATTGTTCTTCAGGCAGCTTCAACAACCGCTTGGCGTGCTCGACTGTGGTGGACCACACCAATGAACTGCGCTTCGAGTCGAGAGGTAGCAGCGCTACGGGACCAGTTGGCAGCCACCGTTGCCATGCTGTTGTGTTTTCTGTTTCCTGTGTATTTTAAGAATTTAATAAAGATTTAATGATAATAATGGTATGAATGGTATGATTTTTTTTTACCATGGAGAATTCACACAGAGTCAGCTAATACCTAAGTATTTAGATATATATTTTTTGTAATACATACTTAATATACGTAGGAAATAACTCGTTCTATTTTTTTTAAATTACTTAATACAATATACTTTCATATATAGTATATATACGAGTAGAGATATACAAGCAGTTATACTCATGAATGCAAATGATTGCACCGTGCGACGAATCGAATCCGCGACCATCGGAAGAGTGCTAAACCGCTAGACCATCGAGGCTGTCTATCTTTCCATTTGTAGAACGTTAAGTTTAATTAACAATATGAATCAATACTATGTTTTGAAATGCATTTATTTACCACTTAATATATACTATGTTTTAACCTTAAACAATTTGAATTAATTTAATGCCGACGTCATTTAACTGTTATATATTTGTAAATTTACAATACACTGTAAAGTTCCACCAATTAACATTGATAAGAAAGATAATAAACATAAAAGTTAGTAAGGATGGATTTGTTCCTGTATGGAAAAATACTAGATGGATTGGAATTAAATTTGGTACTCTATTAGTAAAATGCATATATGAATACAAAGACGACAAAATATATTATTACATAAAGATTTTCCATAAGAAGGAATTAAGAATATATTAAAGACAACTGTGTGTTCCATAAAAATTATCATTACGTACTTTGAACAAAAATAACTATCATCCCCCGTTATGTGTTTGTACGGCTGTGAATTTTGGCGGTGAAAAATCTTTCTCAAAATATATAGCTCTATTTTTTTAAAAACTCCCGCGCAAATGTTGCTCAATGTTAATGTTACTATTCCCGCCCTCTCTTGACGGTTAATGAAAAACTTTGGCGATTGCTTATGAAAACTAATTGCAAATAAAAATACTAGCCAGTAAGATAATATAATTATGATTAAAATATGTAGATAGACGGCAGCAACCGTTTATAGATTAACTGGTAAGGACCGTTTAGCGAGAATATTTTTTTTTCATGCATAATGGAATGGTTCACACGACTTTGCTAACGGATTATGCTGGCGAGGCAACAGTGGATATAATAATAAGATGAGCATGAGGTCAGTACCGATTTCTTCTAATGTCATTGTGCACTGGAGCTATTGTATTATGCCTTGACGTGCAGATTATGGACGGATTATATTATATTAGAGTACTAAAACTTATTTTATTAGTTGTCCTAATACTGATCTAAAATAGGAAGGACTTATGATGCGCTTGAAGGTCCACGCCTACCGGATAACCGCGGATATGACTTATCTTGACGGCATCGTTATGGGTCTAAACCTCGACTTAGGCCTTGCTGTAAATTAGATCTGCGTTGGAATGAAACAGTAACGGTCGGAAGAGGCTAAACTGTATATTGTATCTTTAGCTTTGAAGCAATTACTTACTTTTCGTTATTCCAGTTCAAAATTGGAAAAATGAAGTATAACAATAGATTTATCTATATGTTTACCTATTATACATACTAGTACATACTTAACATATTATGTATACCTCGGCAAGATGCAAAGTAGCTACCACACCCATGTGGTCGTAATTCCATGACAAGTTCTGTACACCCATTGCATTCCGGACGGCGGAGTTGGCGCCGTCTGCGCCTATCTGAAAACCAAAAATAATAGGTTAATGTATAATTACTGATTTAAACTTATATCACGACTGTTTATACTATGTAAAAAGATATTATAGCTTTTTTTATGTTTTCCAGCTAGTATGATACGAATGGTGGATGGTCATGAGTCGACTGGGTTGGGACCTATTAGCAAAGTTAAGTGTTATCAGATTATTATGACTCTCCGCTGCCTCGGCACTGGATATTTATTCCTATGGAGAAATAAACATGCGCCGGAGATGAGGATGCGTTTCGGGGTCGGGTCATCTTTACATTGTATAAAATGGAAGTCGCTTCCACGGTCTGCTCGCTTAATTCTTTTAAACTATGCAACGGATTTTATTGTAGTTTTTAACAATAACATTCTTTCACCTACTAAAAGCATTAATAACAGCGAAAAGTATACGTTGTATTTTTTTTGATTTGGCTTTTCTTATAATAATTGACCTTGTACAATATGTAAAATATAAAGTTACCAATAAGATTCAAAATTACCATTTAACCATCATATTCAATACATACGTTTTCCTAAACATCCACCTCTTCGGTAGAATAGGTAAGTTTATTCGAACAGATGCTATTTATATTAAAATCATAATATAAACAAAGGCAATGATCGGTTCGCAATTACTGTAGTATGTTTTTGTATCCAATCTTCAGTAAGAAATTTCAGTGAGAGGATATCAAGCAACGATATCTTGTTTAAATTATATTTTTGCTATTTTCTTCATACTAACGTGAAACAATGTATAAATGTAATGTAAAATGTACGTTAAGATAATTTATGCAGAGTTTTTTCTTTGAAAAGATATTGGTTATAGTCAAAATTGTTATTTTATAGGTGTCTCCAGTGAATATTGTTTCTTAATCTATTATTAATCATTGCATCAAAATAGAATCTATTGTTTATAACGCATTCATTTCATTTTGTTTGTATGACTATATTTCATATCCTGTACATATACATATTTGTACAGAAATTATAAATACGAAAATTATTCATATGGATCAGCATATCTGTATATACATATTATACATTGCGTCATAAGTGATCTGCTTTCTGAGAAAAATCAAGGAGGATTGTTAATACACCGGCATTTACCGCCAAAGTGGGACGCGGTGAGCTGCCGATGGTATTAATGGGGTTACACAAATGATTCTTTATTAAAAGTGAGATAAAAATAAATGTGAGTGCTTCTATCAATCACCCGTGTCCAGTGGCTTGTGATAGTGCTAATGTTCACGCAAGGACTATGTTGTGTGATCCTGTAATTGACAACATACAGCCGGTAAGTATTACTATTGTTTCTTTTTACAATTTACATATTTGCTATATTTAGATAATTTGCTAGAAACATTTAAGATATTAATATTGTTTCTTTAAATTATCTTTATTATTTGTTATTGTGATAATTTTCTGGAAATATTTTAAGGTATTAACACGTAGGTTGATTGTGTTTATATATTGTTAAGACTATAACAAATGTTTTACTTTAAGTACTTACTAGTACCTTATATTACCATTACCTAAGGAGGTATATATATAGAGACATACTATTTATTTCAAGGCTATATTTCTTATATTTTTTTTACTAAAGCTAAAGACGACTGTAAACTAACTACGCCAGTAACTATACGCATTCTAATGGGTAGCCAGAAGTAGAAAAGAAAACATTCGAGAGCCAAGTAAAACTTTAATTATTTTTATCTCTGGTGCTTAGAGTGTATATTTTACGAGTATACGATTTTTATTGAGCATCATAATTAATTTATTTAATAACTACAATATTTGTTTCTTACGACAATCATAATTATTGTAAAATAGATACTTTAGTTAACTACTTCAAGCTAACTTAAATATATTTTAATTAAAAATCCATAATAATCCCTAAAATATCATAGAAGCAAAATTAATAATATAAATATTTGATGGCCATAATTTTAAGACTCAACGTGATACATCAAGACATAAGCTTCAATAATATAATGATATAAATAATCACAACATTTATTGAACTAAATATTTAGTCATTATATTAAAGTTATTTGTCTATGCTTGTGAGCAAAATTATGCATAAAGAAAACTCGTAAACCTAGACAGAACAATGAATCCAAATTCTCCAAAATAGTTATCATGTGAACTATACACCTTTTTAGTTCAGGGGCTCCACATAAATTTTAAATGTATATATGTATTAATGATTTAGAAGCATGACATTATAAATAAGGGATTTTAAACAATGACTAATAACGTTGTTGATAATTTGAGGGGTGTATAGGTACACTCATTGCCCAACAAATCGTTAGTCGATCATCACCGAGAACGTAAAACCGAATTCATGGTTTGATAAATGTTTCGCTGAAATGGTTTAAAGCAACACCGATCAACTCGACGTATGTCTAAACATAGTTTAAAATAGACCATTACTTTAATACAAAATAACGTAAACACTTATCTTGGCCAACAAAAGGATATAATACTCAGTATCCATGTGGTATGTACTATTAATTAATAGAAATTAGAATTGAATGTGCTCAAAATGTAAGCGAGTAAGTACTAGCGGACCCAGCAGACAACGTCTTGCAACGCCATCTACCTGGTTTAATTGAGTTTATTTATCCATTGAAATCTACGCACAAAATGTCATTCAAAAAGTTCCAGCAGTATAAGAGCAGTTAGGTGACAAAAACACGTACATGTACTCTACGCCTCACTATCTACTATCGTTGAAATCCGTATCCATTACTATGATAAATGCGAATTTATGTGTCTGTTTGTTACCTTTCCACAACTAAACGGCTGAACGGATGTTAATGTTCACCATGAGGATAGATTGTATCACGAGGAGGGATATAGGCTAACTTTTAATCCAATTTAAGTGGAGGAAGTAGCGGGTAATAGCTGCTTACGTTAATATATTATTCTCTATATTCTTATTTGCCTAATACAAACCTCACGCTGACAAAGTAAAGAAATGTCACGATACAGTTCACTCGTGAACTGTATCTACTATTATATTATTTCCAATAATTTGCGCTATTTAGGTTTCTGTACAGAACACCATAAATTGTAAATTTCATATTAAATTTCCAGCAGTAGATAGGTATGTATGCATTCGGTTATGAGATGGTCGGATATTTGGCTGTATTTGCACGTTCCCTAAAGCATATGGTTTTAGTCACAGTTAATGACATGTTTAGAACAGACGTTGTATGAATGCAGTGACCTATATTTTCTACTAATATCATAAATGCAAAACTGCGTCTGTCTGTTTCTTATCTTTTCACAACAAAGTACTCGTATCTGAATGGATGGATGAAATTTGGATACAAACTTACAACAGCACTTATTTGTCGATATAATGCTATTTGGTCAACAATTTGTTTCTACAAGTAATATCGCCAATAGAGTATTAGTTTGTCTAGGGTCTCTTCTATTTGCTATTGTTGAATGATAAGCCTATGATTTTTTAAAGACAAATAAGCGTGTAGGTACATTAATTACATCATAACTGTTATGATTTTTAAGTAAGTATGAGTTTTAAGTTAGCCTATATCCCTCCTCGTGATACAATCTATCTTCATGGTGAACATTAACATCCGTTCAGCCGTTTAGTTGTGGAAAGGTAACAAACAGACACATAAATTCGCATTTATCATAGTAATGGATACGGATTTCAACGATAGTAGATAGTGAGGCGTAGAAGAGTACATGTACGTGTTTTTGTCACCTAACTGCTCTTATACTGCTGGAACTTTTTGAATGACATTTTGTGCGTAGATTTCAATGGATTCCTGAATGAAATAGACATTCAGCACTAAAATCCTGGAAATGGTGGAAAGATTCTAGGCAAAATTTTATTCAACATAGGACATTTTAGGCATATATCTATAGAAGTCAAGTTTTTTCTATTAATATTTTTTACTACTAATGAAATTAACTTGCGGTTCTTAATTTATTTTAAGTATCAGAATGCTTTTGTCTTCAAGGAAATCGGCGACACAAAAGCTCGTTCCATAACCAAAATTCTCTTGAGGAAAGTTCTCTAAAACTACACCTTGTTCATTTTAATTCTGGAACGTGTTAACAAATTCCTGTTGATAGCGAGTCGAAACAACCAACAATATACTCGTATATTAGAATATTGCCGTACTATATGTCGTAATACATATTGTTGAAGCATTATATGAAAATACTGCAAATATAATTTGTAGAGATTTCTCTGGAACCGTGACGTGTTCTTAAATTAATTATTCAACGGAAATTAAGATAAATTACATTTATCCTGGTTTAATTCGTAAATAGCAAGACGACTAAATTTGTTGCACGTCAAAAGATCAAAGATAGACGCTTCAGAATTCTTTGAATGCACACTGTTGAGGATACGTATTTAACTTTGTGTAATTATTTATTGTCACCTCGAGACGGTTTTTAGTTCTTAGGTATTAACGTATAGATCTTACAGATTTCATATCTATAAGGTTCGCTTATAATTAAACCTAGTCTAAAAAATGTTTACTCCTGGATTGATAAGTACGGAAAGTTTCATACTAATTTTGACAATTAATTGTAATTGATTGATTAAATATTCATCTCTTACTATTTATTAAATTATCAAAGCGATACAAAATGTCTTTTCTCAATCTTCATTTAAGACTTATTTGATCTTATTGTCATACTTCTTAAAGCTCTGATTTTTACAGTAATATTTATTCTTTCACGCTTATTTTGGTAGTATTCGTAGGTACTAGATTTGCACGATATATATATGTTTGTCATATTTGATTTACAATAAATCATTTATGTGACCTAGATAAGAAATCTAAACCATATCAGAAATTAAGAAAATAAACAGTTCTGATGTTAAAAATAATTGCGTAGGCGATACCAAACAGCGTGACACGTGGCGTCGTTATAAAATGTCATATTGTGCCATATAGATGGGAATAGTATAAGAAAACAGTTTAATAGAGGACGTCATTAAATTCCTTTTAATTGAAAACAATTCAACATATTTTATTATAAGCAGTCGATAAAAAATATTACGTATCTTCATATATTTTATAGTTATATATAGCTATATTTTAATACAATGATAAAATGAAAAGTTAATCTAATGTCATATTGTTAGACGAAATCTTGTTTTTAAAACCGAAAGTTCAATTGACATTGTTAGAGATTTGTTATTTGAATATTACTCATTTTGATGAAGTTTTAGTATAACACCTATACTAAATCATCATGGTCTGTTGAAATCAACATGAGTGTGTTTTAAAAATAACGCTATTATAACACAAGTAAGGTCGTAAATCAAAAGAATGTAATCGCTAAGAAAATCGTTGTCTACGCCGTTGCCAATACATACAACTGAAAAGATACTTTTTATTCTAAAATTGATAATACGTGAATTATATGAACTTTGCGTTCCATTATAATTCCCAAAATATGTGAGACGTCGGCCTAGACAGTTATCAACTAAGAGAGCTTTCAGTTTTAAGAGAAGCGCCCACACGGGCAGCACTCTTGCGCAGACATGTCGAACGCGAAGAAAAAAAAAGTCATAAAGAAAAAGGTCACTATTTATGTCATTTAATATAATTCCTTTTTTAACTTGGTAATTTTAACAGTTATCGTATGTGTTATTAAAATATGTTGTGAGTGAAAAACAGCCCATGAAAATATATTTTTATATGAGGTTTGTGGAATAATTGACCATAACATTATTCTAATGATGATTATATATATTTAATGTTTTAAATTTGTTAACAACAGATAAAAATAAATATTTAGTTACTAGAATGTACAGCAATGAAATTACACTTTCTTTTAATAACGTAGCGAATCGGTTTGACGTTCAGGTTTTACAATACGTAATAATAAAATGCAAACCAAACATACATAAAACAAATAAAAATAAATAAATGACAGTATATAAACCCATATGAATATCAGTTACGTGATATAGAAATTAGCGGAAACACAGGCTGAATAGTTTATTACAGTTTTGTTCTATTTAGAGAACGAACTGAGGAGCTGTATACTCTACAGATTTTTTACTCTATATTTTTGTATTATAAGAATTTTAACAACATTGTTACTGATTGAACATCCGCTAGACTAATAGGGGCTGCCGGGTATGGGTCTCAACCCTATACTTTTTATGCCAACATCTCTTTTTTTATATTTGCTGGTTACAGCTGTACCGTGAAGGTAGCGCACGATGGTGTGCTATGAGCCAGCTGGGGGAGGACTCCGACGATGATGTCGAGGCAGGTTACATTTCTAGCGACGAGTCGGGTCACGCTGCCGATCTTGCAGAAAGACTGAGGGTTAAACCATCTAGGGATATTTGGGAAGTAGGTAAGTATACAGCGATATTTAGATAGATAGATACTGATAAATTTAGATAGTAGGAAATATATGATTTATTATGCTTGGACTGTCATTGCTTCATGTATACACTAAAGTCATTAATAAATTAAAATATACTCCATCATTATAATGGATTAATCAAATTATTGTAAATATATGTTAAATTATACTGTCTACAGATGAGATCTTATATAGTTTACGCCGACTTCCACAAGCTGAAGAAATATTAGTGCTAATAGAGTCAGGACAATATGACGAAACCATCTGCTTGCTTTCTGAAACGTTTCGAGGAATTGGAGAGCGGACAGCAGTGTTATGGGCTTGTTGGCTTGGTTGTAGTTCATTACTCTCTAGATTAATAATTAATTTGGATGTCGACCCTAACAGTCGTGATGAAGCGGGGAGGTAACTAATCGAATAAATTTGAATACATATGTAATGAATCAATGAAATGTAAAAATATACTGCAATTTGCTTCTAGGACATGTTTACATTTAAGTTGTTTAGTGGGTAACGAAGAATGCGTCAAACTGCTATTAGAACGCGGTGCTGATCCAAATAAATGGGACTCCTATACGGATAGAAAAGCTACGCCATTGCATTGCGCTGCCAGCGCAAAATCCTTGCCCTGCGTGAAGGTAAAAATTAAAACAATAACCGATCTAATTTAACACTGATGAAATTTTATATAAAAAATATTGAACATTACTTTTTACAGATGTTACTTGACTATAGGGCTGATGTAAATGCTGGTCTAGAAGAACGTACTCCATTGCATTACGCAGTGTTGAGTGATGCAAAAGATGTAGTAAGCGCATTATTAGAAGCAGGAGCCTGTCCAGATACTCCGCAGGTATCTGTTTTAATTCAATCATTTTTGATCGATTACAAACGCTATTTTTACAAACTATGATGTAGATTACACTTTAAATTGTATCTAATTAGTTATACTTTGGTTTACAATCAGGTGTTTACAGAAACTCCGCTTCATGTGGCAGCATCTTTAGGCTCAGCTTCTTGTACAAAGTTGCTATTAGATGCGGGTGCCGATGTTAGAGCTGCGATGGGTCCAGGACGCGCGACTGCGTTACATTTAGCCGCAGAAGATGGCCATGCTGAATGTGCACAATTACTCCTTGATCATGGAGCATGTATTGACAAAGCTAATTTTAGAGGACAGACACCTTTACATTTAGGTGAGTTTAAAATTAACATAAACAATGTTAACGAAATCAAATTAAAGAAATCACATTACTTCTTATTTAGACTTTATTTTTTTACAGCGGCTCTAGCGCAATCTGTGGAGGTTGTGGAGCTTTTAGGTGGAAGAAATGCGGATGTGAGAGCTCGAGACAGTGACGGAAGGACTCCATTACATGGAGCCATTGTAAGGGGAGCCCGAGCTTGTGATGTGGCACGATTATTGCTATCAGTCGGTGCAGATCCAAACGCACCAGACAATTTCGGATACACTCCATTACACATAGCAGCTTTAAATGAATTTTCTGCTTGCGTATTGTTATTATTAGGTAAACAATTTATCACAATTGTTATGTTAACGAATTTTGTAAGTCATTAGACTTTTTTGTTAATTTTTTTTAGATTATGGTGGAGATGTCACACTTCGTACCAATGGCGGTGTATCGGCTCTTTCGTTCATCGTCCGCCGAGTACCTGATGTCATTCCTCGATATTTATGTAAACTTGATGACGCTGTGCACGTGAGTGAGCACGAACTAGGGGACGTGGACTGTGAACTGACAATTGATTTTAGACCACTAGTGCCATGTCTATCGAGGGGTGAATCTGAGTTGTTGCTAGCTTTTATTGAGGTATTTTTAGTATTTGTTTCTTTATTTTACCCGAATATGGTTTCATAGCAATTTGTTATTCGAATTAATACAGGGTTTTACTTAGAAGTTTCTTTCTCCTATACCAATACATTAGCACTTTGTTTCTATAGTCCCTCACATATAACATCGTCAGAATAAAAGTTGTTCAACAAACAATATTATCACATTTTTACTCAAATAATATTATTATATTACTCTCTAATAATTTTTAATTTGTGAGTCTACTTCAAAAGGAAGAATGTATTTGTGACACGAAATAAATATTAGTAGTATTAATATATACTAGCGACGTATTATCGTTCTTCTTTCAGGTAGGCCATAAAGACGTTTTAAAACATCCTGTAGCGGAAACATTTTTATATTTAAAATGGAGAAGAATCCGAAAGTTTTTTGTTCTCAGTTTCATATATCACGCATTATTTATTACACTATATAGCCTGTATATATTACGTGAGTATTACATTATTATATGTAGAATGGCTATAGATCGTGTTAGTAAAATAATTTATTTGTATGTATTACGCTTTCTTTCCAGAAATATTCTTGTGTGAAGACGTCACTTGTGCTGTACCACCTTACCTACGTCCGGTGCAGTATCTAATTCTACTTCTTAACACGTGTTTCTTATCAAAGGAAATTTTTCAAGCGTTTCTCGGCTGGTCGGCTTATTTTCGACAATGGGAAAATTGGTTACAGTGTGGAATAATTCTTGGTGTTTTCTTATGTACAGTAAGTATTTCTTTTATCTCTTTTGTTATTCTGCATTCCAATGACGCGGTTGTAGGCAAGTTGCTTGGTATATTCGATTTTCCCAGGCGGATTTCTCAAATTAAACTTTCGATTTTATATACATCAGATCTGGTGCTAATATTGTGTAATTGATAGACTTAAATAAAGATTTTACTTATTAATTAGCAATATTATTTATTAGTTTTCTTGTTTGTTTCACCAATACTCATAACCCACAATAGCCGAGTACTTAAAAATGGTTTGTATGAGGTTTTAGTTTTGATCCATAAACGAGTGTTTTATCTGTTATTATTATGTATTATATTAAAAATTTTCGCAGATACCTAGTTGGGATATGGACAATGGAGTTGTAAGGCACAATACCTCGGATTGGCAACACGACGTAGCGGCCATAACAATATTTTTCTGTTGGTTGGAGCTGATGATGATCATAGGACGGTTTCCAACTTTTGGATTATATGTACAAATGTTTACAACAGGTAACAAACGATTTTTTATGTAACTAGAATGACAAGTTGACGGCTCACCTAATCGTAACTGACTATGTAATTTGTATCGTACTATCTGTGCCCGCGGTTTCCCCCGCGTGAAATTTATACTCTATGTGTTATTCTGAAGTATAAGCTATATTATTGTAAAGTTTCATCAAAATCCGTTCAGTAGCTTTTGCATGAACTAGTAACATAGACCCATCCACCCTAAAAACTTTGAAGGTAGCAAAATCATGACACTAGTTGTTCATGCATAGATACCCAATATCTGTAACATATGTAAGGTTGATTATGATACCCCAACAACAAAGTTAAGAATTTGGCCTTAAAAGGGACGTCAATTTAACTTGACGGTTATCTACTTAAAAATAAATTTACGAAAGAATATTTCTTTTTTGCAGTGACAGTAAATTTTGCAACATTTCTTTTGGCGTACAGTTGCCTACTCATTGCTTTCGGTCTGGCATTCAGCGTCCTGTTCAGCAACTATCCAGCATTCCACCTCCCTGCTGGTTTGGTTAAGACCGTTATGATGATGTCCGGAGAGCTCGAATATGAAGATATATTCTACAACAACTGTACCAACTCTCAGATTCAATATCCTTTGACGGCGCATGGAATGTTTTTAATATTTGTTTTGCTGGTTACTGTTATATTGACTAATTTGTTGGTTGGTTTAGCTGTTAGCGATATTCAGGCGAGTATTTAATATCTATTTTTAATCGATATATTTCTTTCGGTGTTTCGTGAGAAATAGTTTTGAATTTTTACCTAAAATTTGATAATTTCTGGGAAAGAGATTTATATCTCTATAATAAGTCGAAGTCTACAAAAGTATTATACACAATAAAAAAGCTATTTTAACCATATTCTTTTTCTTAAGCGTGAAGGAAAGAATCAAACTGTTCAATATATCAAAAACCTTAATTAGATGGTAGACACGTTTTCATTAATAAAAGTAATTTGAAAATTATTATAGGCTCTACAAGAAGGTGCTGGCTTGGACCGATTGGTGCGGCAAACGCAACTAATATCCCACCTCGAGAGTATGCTCTTCAGCTCTCTGCTGACCTGCGCTCCGAAGCAGTTGCTGGCGGTACTGAGATGGGGTGCCCTTTTAACAGCATCCCAGACACGAACATTGAATATTAGACCTAACGACCCGAGGGAAAGCAGGGTAAGCTGCACCGATGTCGTACACAAAAACTCTGGAAGACGCTAAATCGTGACAGGCCTATTTAATAAATAGGTGGAGTCTGTTATACAACTTTCGATCAGTGACTATGATACATCAGTTATGATATTCACTAGCAAAACACAGTCACTACATCAGAATTTATCCTAATTTATACGAAAAGTAAATGTGTCACTTCTAAAATGTTTGAATTATTATACTATTTACATATACTACTTATTGCAAGTCTTTCTTTCACTAAAATATAATAGTATAATCTAGTAAACTGTTTCAATATACATAATTTTATTTAAATAATTAAGATTGAGTGAATGTAAATCGAGATCTACGATACTCTAAAATAATAATAAATAATAAATAGACAGCCACAATACATACATTTCTCATATAATCACAATGCTTTCTGCTAAATATGTATTGATTATTTAATCATTAACCTAACTATTAAAAAACAACAAGGTTATATAGTTTATTATAATGTGGAAAATTTCTAATCTATTTCATTTAAATTTCAGATACCAAAAGATTTAATAACTTCGATATACAAAATGGTAGCCAGTCGCAAGGATACAAAAAGAAGCGTTCGGAAGAACAACAATTATGAATTCAGAATAGGAAAATGTAAAATAGACGAAGACATTGCGAGGCAAGTAGTTAAACGAAAAAGTTATTTATACGATCGATATTCATTTGAGAGCCAACATGTTGAACGAAGAAAGAAAACTACCTCAGGATCCGGTGATAATAAGGGTAGACCAGTTTCCGTAAACATCAATACAGTACAGGATCTCTGTATGGTTGATATTAAGAATCAATTAGTAGAGTTATCAAAAAAAATCAATAGGCTGATTGAAACTAATGAAACAAGGTTCAAAGTGATTGAAAAGAAATTAAATGATATTCAACCTCCATAAAATGTAATGTTGACATAAGAATTCATTTTTAATCTAATAAACATATAAAATTGTCCAAAATAAACTTGAAAAAGGTTAAAAAGTAATTTAAGACTATGATTTGCCTATGTTGTAGATCATTAATTTAAGGAATATAGTACCTATGTGTATTTTTTAGTATGAGTGTATGAAGAATATACACTTTGGAAGAGAAAATTACGTGTGTAGAAATTACACAGCATGCAGTATTTTTAATGAATTAAATAGCATAGCTTTGATGCACAAATAGCATTCATTTAATACAAACATTAAAAATGAGTCTGTAGAACCAATTTAGACTTTACAATCTACAAGCATAAAAGAAAAAGGTCATAAACAGCACATAACTCTCTATGAAGGAAATATTTCATTAACAGAATTTGGTATTAATTTAAGTTATTAAATATGTTATACTTTAAGGTTTATTAAAATTACTATTTGTTTTCTATTTTATTGGAGTTGCTTTAAAGTTTAAATTTTATTAAGTAATAAGGTTATAAAAAATAAATGCCCTTGATATAATTCAGTGGACTATTGTTACTATTAAATATAGTCATTTGGAATATATTGTACTATGCCATGTAGATGTGTATTTTATTTATTTAGTACTTACTAGTAGTTGACATGAATATGTATCCCCATTATTCATTTTTACAATATTGTTTGATGATGCTTCATGTTTTGACAATTCATATCCAGATATTTTTGCTCCATACACAATATTTACATTTTTAATATCAGTCGAAGTCAATTCTTTATTGACTGCATGTAACAATAGATCATTTTCAACAATGTATGCAACATCGTCATCCATGATGTCAGCACTATTGAAAGAGATCAATGCATCAGAAGATGCATCCCACACCTGAAATATTTACAACAAAAAATGTGAATCTAATGGGGTGAACAGAGATATTGTAAAGAAAACCTATATTCTCAAAATAGCTCACAATTTTTTGAGAATATAGGGATCCAATAATATTTTTAGGTATTTGTCATAACAGGACAATTAGCAATGTAGACTGTCACTCAAAGTATTGGGTACTTGCTAGATTTGATCTTCTGATGTTATAATACATATTAAATATATATACACTATTTATATACTATTTTATGTATATTAGTCATAAATAAATTACTTGATTTTATTTATGTCTTTAATATAGATAAAAATAGTATATACATGGTGTGTATAAATATATAAAGCCAATAACCCATAAAGTTATGTTACATCACTTTGTTTTGGTACATCAGAATAAACTGAAATCAGTAAACAGTAGCCTAGATCTGGAATATGTATAGGAAGAAATTGCCTCTACTAAATAACTAAATAAACTGGTAAGTATTTACATGACAATAAAAAGTTAATTTTAAAAATTGTAATTATTCAAACTATAGTAGTGATGGCAGGTCAGATATTCCACTTACACTCCACTCAAGTTTTAAGCCATATTTAAGAATTAATATATATCTGACAGACCCAATGGTGATCAGAACCATCACTAATAATAATTATTCCAAGGCCCTGCTACATTGTATTCTTTAAAAATCTCCAGTAAAATATGAGGATATAAAGTGATGCATTCATAATATCATAAACAGTTGAGAATGTCAATAGTCAAGATAATATATATTTACTAGCTGATGCCGCAAACCTTGTTTTGCCAGGGAACATTGTTTTTAGACGTTAGGGTTGGACAACCCTTTTCACTTAAGGGTATGAAAAATAGATAGTAGCCTATTCTCAGACCCACTGAATACATATGTATGTATACTATTGTATACAAAAAAATTCATAAAAATTGGTCAAGCTGTTTCAGGGGAGTATGGTAACTAACATTGTGACATGAGAATTTTATGTATAAGATTAAAAGTGCATTGTTTTATAACTCACCTGCATGTGTCTAACAGGCTGAAGCCGTGCATTTTCTATATGCTGCCATATATCCAAAGAACTCATCAAAGATTTTGTGTTCTGACTTAGTGCTACTACTCTGTTGCTGTATTCTGGTTTCAATTCATATTTCTGTTGTGGACTGCCCTCCAATAACAATACTTTTAAATGTGACAATAGAGAATTTTTGCCTGAAAACATTTTTTTTTATTCAATGATAATGACACATACTTGTGGTAACCAGCACTACCAGTGGTGGATGAAGAATGACAGGATGTCATCATCATCGTCAGTGAGGTCAGTTAGCAAATCAGAGCAAATTCATCTGGAATTAACCAATTTGTTTCTAGGGATGGCCAGGTGGAAGTCATGTGACATTGTACATTAACAGAAATTATTGGAAAGAGGTAGCTCATTACCATTTTATATCTATATATATTGATAAAATATAAAATCGTTTTTAAGCAGGGCTTTTCAGTCATATAAGAATAATTTCACTTTAGAGCATTTTTCAAATTTATAAAGTAAAATGAATAAAAGCTAACAAGATTTGTGTGCTCATAATTGCAATTTCTTTTTGTGTGTCTGAGCCCCTTGCCGATGCGGGATACCCTTCCTACTCTGACCATTGTTGAACCCGCATTAAGTGTGTATTTCTGTAAGAAAATATTATGATACTAATACATGATTCAATAAGTATTATAATTAATCACGTCATACCGATAGCACAAGCTAAGGTGCAGCCCACCATGCCACCACCAGCTATTATAACATCGTATTTCTGTTTTATTTGACCATCATTCGAAGAACTCTCTGTATTACTTGTAGACACAGTTCTCGTGTATGTTTTGCTCGTAGTTAGCAGGAGTCGACGAACAGTATAAGTTTTACAGAGTATCATAATTGATTCAAAGTATCGGCTTAGTTTGTGAGAAAACAAGAAAAATATTCAACTTATGTTGTTAATAGATTATGAAATAAAAACAAAATTAATATTTAAAAATTAAATTTATGAAAACATTAAACATGTCAAATGACAGTGAAAGATATACGTCATTATGTCATGCGTGACTGACTTCCTCTGATTCAGAGATTCTTTTTTTTTTCCCCATATTCGTCCATCTCCTTTTCAGTGATGGAACAGGCAAAGATCCTTAGACCGCACAGCCTAGTCTACGTTTAAACTTCTTCAACAACAACAACAACAAGTGATGAGGCCAAAGGCCAATTCTTATGTATGTTTATTCATTATGTTTTCATTCGTGTTCAAAATTTAAGTCTTATCCATAGTCCATATCCTTGTATCAATTATTTAAAGTTTTATCGATATCGAGGTAACGAATAAATATATAGGTATATATGTTTTAAAATTAGTTAGCATGTCTTGGATGTCGCGCGGGATTTTTTCCGGTTTCTTGTAAATGTTCAGTAAATTATCAATAAAGACCAAACGTTGAATATTATAAGCGGAACATTAAAAAAATATGTGATTTAGGGTCTGACTGCTGTTATTGCACTCTTGACATGCATTTGAATCAATTATTTTCATTCGGCACAAATGACTATTGAATCTAGCGTGAAATTCAGAGATTCACATAAATTGACATTTCTGACAACGTAGTTTTTTTATATGGCACACGGCTGTGAGACACTGCTTTTTCTATTTAGAAAAATAAAACAAAGAAATAGCATTCACCTATGAACGAAAACAATACGGGTATGGGTTTACTGTGGAGTGAGTTTTTACTTCGAAAAAAGGCAAAAAAAAAAATATTTGCTGCCAAGTGCAAAATAGAACCAAAAAGAATGACGTAAATGTCAATTTTTTGCTTTTTTACCCGGTATTTTAAGTAAGGTAAGTTTACACAAGCTGAATTTATTGTATAGTACCACAGTTAATATAATATTACATAATAGTACTTACTAGGGCATATCGAGAAGACAATCACTATACTAACTGTAACTAACTAGTGAATTTTTTGCTGAGTGACTATCACTGACTAATCCGAAAGCATTTATATTTTTTTATTATTTATATAGAGATAAGGTAAATACCTAATTTGAAATTAAAGATATACCTAACTACGAGTTAGGTATATCTCAATCATCTACCTTCAATGATGTAGTTATTTTTAATATAATATAAATAATTTTCTTTGATATTTTTGAATATTTTAAGTTTATTTTGGCATAGGTAAATATTTTTTATACTTAAGTTCACTGGCTCCCGTAAGGATGCTATCTCAAGTACTTATCGTGGTCAGATCCTATGATTTTAACTAAAAACGTATCCACTTATTACTGTTGATTTGTTTTCCAATTGTGGATATAGTAGGTAGGTAAAGTTAACAATATGAGTATGTGTATTAAGTTTCCATGACAACACAAAAATATACAATCTAATACATGATTACAAGCAATCATGACACAGTCATAGAAGGAAAATAATTATGTTTAAACTCACATTAGTCCGGGATGAGCCATCGGTATAGTGTTTTTATAAACTCATGTTTAAAACTACCCGTTGATCCTGTAAGTAAGATGCCGAAAACCGCATATGAACGTAAAACTAGACCAATAATAGATCAGGTTTCTATTGATTCGACATCCACTGTAGGCTCCGTAGTAGCGGTGGATATAGATGCCGAGAAACTAAAAGACTTTTATCGCAGTATACCTGATTACAATGACATCCACCATCTACCAGAAGATGAGTTTTATTCCACATTAAGGTCTTTGAGAGAGAGAAAAAAAGTTATGTTAGGTTTGGCTGTCGAGCGTATTGACCATTGCATTGAAAATAAAAGTAAGAATCAAGAAATAGATACGGCGTTTTGTAAGACAGAGCAGGATACTGGTATAGACGCATTTTTAAAATCGAAATTAAAATATAGAGAAAGTAACCGAAGACAATATTCAGCAGAAAAAAAGGAAGGAGACAAGGTTAAGTGTGAAATAGCTAAAGTTACTATACCAACATCTGACTCTACGTTAAAACGACCAACAAGAAAAGTTACGAAACAAAATGAACAAAGTAGTGATGACATAAGAATTCCCAAAAAAGGTAGCTCTATCAGAGAAAAGAGCAAAGCTGATAGGCCGAAAAGAAATCACTCTGCTTGTTCCATATCTTGGAATGATACAAAGTTTGAACGGAAGGACGATATCGATCAGAAATTCGAACAATTCTTCGATGATAAAAAGTATTCAATAAGAAAAGGTAACGAGGACGATGATTTTAAAACTAGAAGTATGCCGTCAAGTCCTTTAAGACTGAAGCGTACCATATCACCTACAAGAGGACGCAGAAGTGTTACTATTCCTAAGCCTTTTAAAATGACGGAGAGGTAAGGGATTTTTTTAATATGCTTACAATAAAATTTACCACTAGCACTTGTATACTAATTATACTGATTTTCAATTGTACAGACAGATTTAGATTAAGCTTAATACATTCTAAATATTTTAGAATGCATTACCGTAATAGCCACATTTAAAAGCTTTTAATTTCTAAAACAGTTTTTTTTTTAATAATACTATATAAATACTAATAATAGGGCATAATGTGCCCTCCTCTAATTATTATTTACAAATAAAAACAATTGAATTGACAACAGCTCACTTTTTTATATCGATTAACATGAAACTTTGTAACTTTAGAGATGAGGAAGAACGAATTGTAAACGAGTTACGAAGCCTTCGGAAATCATTTTCAGAAGATATGCTTCATCAAAAGTGCAAGAGAAAACAATTTAAAGCCAACCCTGTGCCAATAGAATCGCGAATTCCCTTATATGAGAAGATTTTGGAGGATCAAGCTATGAGGTTAAACAACACACTTCTAGTGCAACATAATAGATAGTCCACGCTTTTTATGTTTTATTCCGGATTTTTTTTTATACCTACATACAATTCCAATGCAAAAAGAAAGATAATATTTTCTTTCAGTTTCTATCTAATAATAAGTGGGGGATATATATTTTGTGCTTATTATTCTATTTTGTTTGCAAGACATTAACCACAATTTTTGTATTAGTTATCTAAACGAGCTTAGTAATTTACAAATCACTCAAATCTCTCACATTCACAGCTTCTTTTGTAGAAAATGAAGAAAACGGACTGAACTTTAATAGTATTACACGTAGGTAAGTCTTTATTTCTAAATTTTGAAATTATTATAAATTTATTGTTTTAATTTGTTAAATTTATGTACTTTGTTATTGTTTTCTATACTTTCTTATTCACAGTGTGTAGCAAAAGTTGATTATTTTTTCGACTTCTGAATAAATAGAGTGACTATAAAATACTTTTCAGTCAGTAACTATAAAAAGTTTCATACATAATTATAACGTGCTAATAGGTATCTGACGACCTATTTATTTGCTAAATTTGTAAACTAAACAACTTATTGGAAATCATTAGAATTGTCTTGTTATACTATATGGCTAATTGCATCATATTTGATAGCTGTTTTATTTCCGATTGGTCCGAGATTCGATTCCTCCACAGTATAAATATTTGTATTCACGAGTAATTATAAGAGATTATATAAAAATATATTTTTATCAGTTGTTTAGTATACATAACACGAGCTTTGCTTAGCTTCGGTCTTGATGGCGCTGTGAGTTGCTGTGTGCGATGCTTTGATAATTAGATATTAGGTAGATACTATTATATTATTTATTACTTATGATTATTATAGAAGGGCGATTACAAAAATAAATAGTGAAGCAGACTTGCGAGCTCAAATGAAACCGTTCAGCTTTACTAAGAGGGAGGAGAAAGGTCTCGATGGAGTATGTGAAAAAGCAGTCCATGCCATTCCTAAGAGCAAGAAAAAAAAGCGGTTCAAAGCACGACCAGTGCCTAAAAATCTGTTTTCTAACTACTTCTATGATAAAATAAAAGAAGATGAATTCTTTCGGTGAGTACGTACCGAATTCGGCCTAACTGTGGTATCGTAGTTAACTCTTGGTAAATTCGACACTTTAATTCGGTCTAACCGATCAGATGAAACTTATCTTCTTTTACAGCGCTGGTGCCTCGATAGCTTAGGTATATTGTTTGTTAATACATTCATAATTTTATTAATTTGGTTCATTGGCGAAATTTTGCAGATTTTTATATCCGCCTAGATTATTATTTCTTTCAATGATGAGCATAATTTTGCAATATTTTTTACGGAAATGCTTTTGTATGAGAATAAAATTAATATGGAGTATTGAATGGTATCAATTTATCGATTATGATATTATTAGACGAGCTTTTTTGTATTCAAAAAGTCACATTAACATCCCCGAGATGATTATATATCAACGTTTATGGTATTTGTATGTTGTTATTGGTATGTTGATATTTAAAGTTTGGTGATGAAATTGACACTGTATATTATTAATTTTTTTTTCTATATTCTAGTAACAACTTAAATATCCGTCTTTATTTTTTTCTCACAAATATCCTTATTATAATACATACATTAAGTAGGTTACTCGTATGTTATTGAAATGGAAACTAGCTAATGACCTGATGGTAAGCTGTAGCTGTCGCCTACATGAACAGCATTACATCGTAGCCATGTCAGCCTGTAATAATACTGCTTATTCAGTTAGCTGTAGGCAACCTAGGCGAGGTATTATGTCCTGTATATATGTATATATTCTTAATGCTGTTGTAATACATATAGGAATATTATTATAGATACTTTATTAAAAAATTGTAAAATAAAATACAATAAATCATAAACAAAATCTGGCGATAGGTCTATGAATCGTCGCATCAGATCAGAGGAGTTATTACGCAACTCCAGTTACCCAGGCACAATGGGGACACGCGAGCGCAGTCGGCTGTCCACACCAGCTGCTCATAGCGATTTACCTATTGATCCCTCGCCCGCGGTTCCTTCAATTACATCATCAGACCGGCAAAGATGCAGCAGCCCTACGAAAAATCGGAGAAGACGCTACAAAACTGATAAGGAAGATTTTATTACCACGAGCCCGCAACCATTTCGTTTCAATACAGCTGAGCGTGCCGCTAAAAAAGTAATATGTTTTTATATTAATCATTAGTAAAATTGTGAGGATTTCTTGAGGAAATGAAAAAGGAAAGAATATAAATAAACTTATATTACATTTACTCATCTAATATCTGTTATTTTCAATAATCAATTAATGTAGTGATTGACAGTGACAGTACAGATGATCAAAGAAATTGTATGAAACACAGCCGAAACGAAGTTTAGAAAATTAAATTGTCAAAAATTCCTTACATAATGTACAGGTTGTTAACTCCTTCTAAATAAAACATTTCTATCTATAATATATTATAATAAATATATTAATCCTAGCTACATGTATACTTATAGGCTATTGCGTATAACTTCAGTTTAAGGTAATCTACTTTAATTTTAAAAAATCTCTTATATTTTTTCTCTCATAAAAATGCATGTTTTTTTCAGATAACAGAATTAACAAACAAAATATACCAGGAGAGTAAAAGTACAGGTAGTGTCGGTGGTAGCGGTGCTCCAGAAGCTCGCGCTTATTCTGCTTTGGAACTGCGTGCTGCTGCATCAGGCAGATCTAATCTTGCTGCGTTATTAAGAGCGGAGGCTGTGAGAAGTAGATTTGAAATGGAAGCTGCACGTCGTCTCACGGAGCAACGAAGGCGTATGGAGATGAGGCACAGAGATCGTTTGTTACGCTCTAAACCTGCCTGGCATCTCGTGAAGAACAAGTATGTCTTTCAATTTTAAATAGTAGCAACTGATTTTATTGTCTCATATTTATGTTAAGTCTGGATTTTAGCTGTCAGTTGAATGGGAATAATCTGGTCTACAAAAATAATTGTTTATTCTATTGTAAAGAAACCAATCCATCTACTGTCGTCTTCTTATTTACATGCTTGTTCGCTATTGTAATAACTTTTAAAATATTTGCAATATATATTTACAGTCATGAGGAAGATATTGCGATGAGATTACAAACACGCCGTGATGAAGAAAAAATGAGAAGGGAAGAATTTCTTCATGAGATGGAGCTTATGTATGGCAGAGTTCACGATCAACCCATGCTTTTTGAAAGATACTACGCACCAAGACCTTACGCCGCACCTGTAGACAGCATACAACTGTCGCCAAGAAAATCTAAAAAGAAAAATAAGAAGAAATCCTACCAGTTCATTAGTCCTAACAGATCTAGAAAAGTTTCTATAAATGACACGGCTGAAACATTTAATGGGGATGTCTCAGAATATCTTAATAGAATCAATGACGACAAACTGTACTCAGATTCAGAGGCAGCGGTCGATAGTTTAGATGGAGGAAAATTATAATTATAATTGCACATTAATATAAACGTTTTCATATCCTTGAGAATTTTTATTTTATGTCACATGTTTGCAGTATGGGTAATCCGGTCGATATACGTAGTTAACCTCACATAAAGTCCCGTTTTGTTTTTTTCAACTTTATAAACTAGTTTGTTAAGGTGGTAGTTGTGACCTGTTTAACTAGAGAAGCTTCATAATTGTCATTGTGCGTTTCATTACCCAGTCCTGACTATATCGTGCAAGGTGCTGATTCATCGGTCAAAACTGGTTTCATTGTTCGACATACTGACATCAACATCCAGTTTAATGACACTTTCCGCTTTACTGATCTTATCTAAAAAATAACTACTAAAGTAGTATAGGTAAGTACAGATATAAATTAGCAAAGAAATCGACATAGTTATTTTATGATTGACGACGCCTGACGGTTTTTAATGAGCTAAAAATTTCTAGACTACTTATGGGACTATACCAGGAACTGAGGAACTATTAAACAATAAACAAATCTGATTGATATAAGAGCAATAAGTTTCTTGCCAGTTCTTTGCGGATAAAAATGGACAATGGAACAAAAAATAAAGACAAGCTTAGCTGTAGGTTCTAAGTTCTCAATTTTATTGTATTTATTGTAGTTATATGCCTGCATGAGTTACGTGATATCTTCCCAACTATTTCCACATTAATGTTTGGTGTTTCTTACTCTTTATTTCTTTAATTGGTCAATACACACATGCTGTAAATTCATGAAGATAAAATAAGAACTTAAAATTTTATGTTTATTTACGTAAAAAATACAACAAAAAAATTATCTTAATCATTACAATAAAGGAAATACTAAATAAAAATCTATACAATCATAATAGACACTCAATATAAATTATCAAGTATCCATTTTAGGAAGAATGACACTGAAGTGTACACTCCGGGTTTTTTGATGCCGCATATTGACGGACCAAACGACACCACACCCACTAAAAAGTGTTTCGGGCCGTCGGGCGTGTCATATACCTGAAATGAACATAATAGGTAAATAAGTATATAGGTTGGTCCATAATTTTATCAGATGGGGAATTAAAACCTTGCATACAAGTGATGTTATGTTATTCACAAATGTATGTGCTCGGATAATTATGCTGAATTGAATTAGGATTGAATTCAAAACGCGTCGAGTAAATGACTTTTGGTCCATGCTGTTGCTTTTTCTTGGTAGTTTATTTATATTAGCATAAATAAACAATTCCTTAAATAAAAGCACCTGACTGGGTATCTCACATAACTTCTTGTATTTCTGCCTCCTTGCAAGTTACTATTTAAGTTTGTTGGATTTATAGTACATATGTAGTAGTAAGCAGTAAATACGGAGCTAAAGAAAAATAAAAAGACGGCAATGTCCCGGTACCATATAATACAAGTACAATCCGATTAACAATAGGTATATACCTTGTGACTCATTTGAAAATTATGTGATAGAAAGCGTCTGCTTATATTTTCTCTGACTTACTTAACTTAACTTAACGTAACTTATATATATATATATTTAATTATATACCCATACAAAAATTACCATGTGAAGTTTACGTGGGCGATGACCCGATAAACAGCTTGTATTACAATTATTCGTTAGCATTGTGAAAGTGTACACTTATCAGTCCAGTTTTTATGAGGAAAAACCTCGGATGTATTGATAATAACAAAAGATGGTTGCTGACCTTCATAAGCGGACCTCCGGAGTCTCCCCCGCAGGCATCCTTGTTGTGCTGTGCGCCGGCGCATATTTCCGACTGGGACACTTTGAATTGAGATCCAAAGTTGCTGCACTTATCTGGACTCACAATTGGCAACTATTAAGAAAGGATAATTAATACACTATTCGAAAAAAATGTCTTCACAACATGTCTGTCACTGAATATAGGCAATACTATGTAATATTATGTTATCTGTGGTAATACTAAAAATAACAACCCTGGACAATTTATCACAGCGCCAACCAGCCTCAATTTGAGCAGAGTTTGTGTTATCGTTACCAGACAACTGTTAGAAATACTTAAATATATATGTATATAATATAGATAGTAAACACCTAGGGCAATACAAATAATTATACTCAGGAATATAAATGTTTTCATCATCTATATCATAATTCTCTATAGATATATATGTATAATATTGGCATAAGCCTTTGAATCATAAGCTTGCTTGCAAGCTAAGCGTTGAAGTTGAATAGTAAAAAAATAGAAAGATACCGTTATATTTTATAACACTTTAGTCTCTGTTTCAGTGGATGAAATCAGTTTGATGACAGAAGGAAAATAGGAACTCTGAACAAAAACATTACAAGCACACTAATTTTGGCCATCTTTGACTGGTGTAAATACTTTGAAAATTTTGATTGCTTGATAAAACCAATTAAATTCTAATATACACGTGCTTGATGACTATATTAGTGTTTAATTGGTTTTTCTACCATCGGAGAGTCACTCAAATATATACAACTCAAATAAGTTTCGAACGAATCTTTCAACATATTGTATTGTACAAAATTTTATTTCAAATACTCGAAGTGTTTGAAATAAAATTTTGTTATAAGTATATGTCATAAATTATGATACTAACAATGACGACTTGCAAAATGTTGGCCCTTTGTTCCGTAGTCATGTTCATAGTACCCCATCCAGCAACGGTTACAAGTTCGCCGATTTTTAAATCGACCAACTGATCCTTACTGCGAAGCAAGCATATTGGTGCTACGTAATCTGTACAGAAATAAATATAATGTTCAAAGATAATTAATAAAACACACATATATAATTCACATTGCGCCAGATAATACATTGATGTGTCCAAAAGGAGGTTTACTAATAGACTGCATTCTTTTAGTCAGGCAGTAATTTAAACATTAAAGAACTTCTATATTAAGCTACATCTTCGCCTAAAATTGAATGGGAATATTTTATGGATGGATGATTTTTTGTTTTAACTGAGAATGTATTAATTGGACCACGTTTAATTTTCGTCCTAATTGGTAGTGGTTTTTGTTTTTGGAAAAAGGCAACTACCATTTACAAATATAATAAAATTTCATTTACAATAGAAAAGTACTTCTGTAAAATGCTTGCACGCTTTGTGATCGATCTAGGGCAGGCTTCTGTTTTGTCATTTGCATATGCGTACAAAAAATTTATTGCTAACTGTTAGAATGCAGGCATTAGATGACATGACACAGAAAAATGACAGTATAACAGTCTCTGCAATCTTACTCTTCCGGAATGGCAATGCACGGGTGTCCCGTGATAACGTGATATCCGCAGCGCTGTTTATGTACATTGGTGACGGATGATAATCAGAGGGTTTGCCATTACATAAAAATAGTCTACGAACTTAGTTTAAGTTCCTGCTTCCTACATTCCTACCTAAGGGACTTAGACCTAGATTTATTACAATTCGTATATTACCATTTATTTCCACCGGAGTTGCCAATTCAAGTATGGCGATGTCATTGTGGAATGCTGGTTTATTAAATAGTGGATGCTGTTTGACAGTCTTCACTTTTCTGTCTTGGACTTTTGGCGCACATATGCTCATTTGGCAGTCGGGGTCGGTTTCCGTGTCATGCTCTCCCAAACGAACAGAGGTTCTGCATAAATAAATAAAAACATAGATTGTTGACTTTTGATTAGTTGTGTTTTTTAACTTTTTATATCATTCTTAGTAGTATCTGTACAGCCCTGCGCTCTATCGTTCTTCGTTGCATTATCCCTTTCAGACCTGAGATTATTTTTCATTTAGATTAATTTTATTTTTATTCTCAATCCTGAAGCTATTTTGCATTGTGACTTTCCGTACTTTGCCACCTAACCAGGACGACTTCTGATTGGCGATTTACGGAATTCATTATCATGTTATGTCTGTTTCGGACATGAAAATAGATTTGGTCTGATTTTCGAGTTCAACTCACTCTTGTATCGTTCATTTCTGAAAATGCTAAATGCTAATCGTGCAAGGGGGTGGTTTATTACAATCTTAAATATTAATTATTTAGAAAACGCTCCTTATTGCACAGGGCTCGTAGCATTTGCTACTCTTACTACTAATCCGGCACATCATGACAGCCCTCTATAATGGCGTTATAACGTGATGTCCATGGTGTTCATGTATATAGACGACAGTAATAACGTACCATCAAGTGTGCCGTCATCTTATATGTAATTTCGATTACATAAAAAAAATATATTTATCAGTTCGAGGTACATTAGGTATTAACGTATACCATAATTGTCATCGTTATAGTTGATTAAGGAAATAAAATAGTGCCCGTTATACATTAGATATACCTAATTGCTAAATGGACATTAATATTAGCACACTTACCTACATACTAATGGATACTGGATAATTCTACGTGAATAGGTATTATTATAATAAGAATATTAGTAGTAAATATTTTCCATATTTGTATGTAACATGTGGCAACTCGTCCATAGATTATATACGTACTTACTATATGATTATTTTGTTATATTATCAATACAATAAACAGGTTTTCCTTTATATGTTATGACTTTTAAACATGGGAAAATACGTTATTTCCACTAGCTGCAGTAGATTTGTGTTTACATTTGCGCTTAATTTATTAAAATACATTTATATTTATTAAAATATAAATAATAATTTCATCTCTAAGTTTATTATGACTCGTGTAAAGTCTTTAGTCTTCTGTTCTCTATGGTAAATCATATCAGAAGACTACATTTCTTACGTGAGGTCTTCTGAAAATTTGTAAGCACGTGCTTACAAATTTTCAGTATAAGTTTTGTAAACCTATTTTAGTATACATGTGTATTATTATTATGTTAGTGACTTATACTATATCTAATTATAATATAACTGTAAGCTATTACAGATAAGTAGCCGAATATGTCCTGTGTAATAAATGATATGATATTTAGATTTTGACTTATTTTTATAGTATATTAATTAATTATCAAGGAACTTATTTCTTATAAAAATGGCGAGTTTACCGCCGTATTTCTAATTATTTTTATTTGTTATCGGTGTTTCCATCACTGGAGAGACAATCAAAAGTAATTCTCACGCATATATTATTTTGTGTCTGTTAGACACGTTTGAGGTCTCAATAAACCACGTAATAAAACAATGACGCTCTCATAACTGAATTGAACTGAACAATGATACATGTTATGACTTACAGTTCATATCCATCATCGGCGGATTGGAGACAGTGTGCTGCTGTTATGACGTGTCGATCGGAGACCAGCGCTCCGCCACACAACCAGTCCAGATCATCTTCATCTGAAACTACTTATAGATTGCAGAATTAATTATATAAATCTGAGGAATTACCTTCCTAACTGCACTATTTAGTACCAACCAATGCGATAATATATTATCCAAAATGTGATAGTATATCAGATGTTATAGGTTAGATAGATGCTAACCGACCTGTGTGACCATGTGGCATGCATCACGTCTAAATAGAGAGGCAATGCGGAAAGTACAACATTCAATAGCGTAGTAAGAGACGTGTTGGTGTTGTAGCGAACGCAATACTAGACGTTGTATGTAGCGGATTAATTAGAATTGTTATCGGTGTTTCCATTACTGTAAAGTTAATAAGAAATATAAATTGACACAAAACTTTTTTACGTCGATCACATTTGAACTAACTACACAATAGTTCATATTTCATCACGTCAAGACACCCATAATATCACTCATGCGTTTTATTCCAGAGGACTTAGATTTATGCATATCTTGTATTTTCATTGTCTAATCGAACTCTAATAGTGTGAATATGATTAATTATGTTGACTAAATTTGTGAGGTCATTAAATAGAACCAAACGAAAACCCAAATTCGTGAGGTCATTTAATTAAGAGAAAACCCAGCTGATACCAATTTATACCTTTGTTTAACTCCTAAAAGTAAATGATTCATTACGGGAAAGTGATCATTACAGGCTATAACGGCCAGTGAGCACATTGTTCGATTCACCAAAATATTAATTTCTTATAACCCGCCCGATTAAACAGTACTATTGCGTTAGTTATATGACATCATTGGGAAATGCTTATTAAACTTGGTTGGTTATAAGAAATTAATTATAATTGAATTTGAATTAAGTAGCTGTTTGAACTCCAGAAACCGCAAGATGATGTAAGTGTAGAATCCTAGTGTCATCAATTCTATAAACTTCTTGGAAGTCAGTAAGCAGAAAAGTTACAATTATGGGTAGTAAATACGACTAGGCATTGTTATTGGTTTTTTAAAAACGTAAGCAACTTACAAAGTACCTTCGTATAATATAAGATCAAAATTGTGCCTGTTTGTCTGTCTAACCAATGTTTCAGCAATTTCAAAGGACGCACGGACTTAATGAAATTTAAAGTGAATATAAACTATCAAGAGTATATAGTCATACAATATTTACCATAAAAAGACAGACAGACATAGTCGCTGTTAGCACCTAGTCGTAAGAGCTAGCTATATATATATATCATAGAGCTAGCGAGATTGAGTTCACTTGTGCAGAGGATTTTGTATAAACTCCAACTCGGTAACAAAATAATTAATTATAAAAGTTTATTTTTAATACGGTCTCTTGTTAGGACTGTTTTCCATGGAATTTAGTTATAGGAAGGCCTCACTGATCATCTTATTCTAAGTACGATTTAGGACATGAGTGGTTTTTTTTCAAGTAGGGCCCACCTGGCTATTAGTGGCAACTATCGCCTACATACATTAAAAACGGAATTTTCGTATAAGAAACACTATAGACATTACGTCATAATAATCCGCTCATATAACTATAACTAACGTACCATGTAGTAATAATAGACCAATGCAAATCCATTTAGGACTTTGTTCGTTGAATTTTCACTAATAAATATTAATAGGTGTATAATGACGTACCAATATACAACGTCATATCACACACCTATTAGGTTTTTTTTCGGACTACTCTAATGCTGTTGGCCGCAGCTGGCTTTTACAGCTTCGCCGGACGATAGCGGGTGAGTTCAGATGACACTCCAAATCCGCGGAAGGACTCATGGAGCGGCTGATGGTCAACTCCCGGCTTCCTTTATTAGCATTAATACTTTTAGGTGTACCTTACGTTGATACAATCTATTCTAATGCTAAATGAAATTATTTGCAAATGTGCCAAATTCAATTTAAAAATTACATATTCAATGAATAGTTAATTTAAAATGTTAAAAACATTTTAAATTAACCTTTATCTAGTTATAGATATTCTAATTCTGAATGCATTACATTGATTCTATGATTTCTCAGGTACCTACAAATGTTACACATAATATTGTTTTTAATATGGAATCAGTTTTCTACGGTAGCTTAAGGTGGTTATTTGTATTTGAATGAATAATTTGTTTTAATTCGACTTGGTAAGCAGTAGTTATAGTATAATAATATTTACAATTACGCAATAAATATTGATTGCGTAATTGTATAATTCTTGAATAAATAATCTTGTAATCAATATTCGTTTCTCAATACTAATACTTAATATTAATAATCAAAATTAAGAAGCAAGTAATATATAACTTTCGTATTATAATTTAGAGCTATTCATGTTTACCAAATTGTAATCCACAGGTAAACTGTAAAAAACACCTCAGTCTTACTTACTTCAACCACCATGCAGCTTCCTTTGTGAGTTGTGACTCGGTGCGTATTAGGCAGTCTAATTACAGGATAAGAATCATGATATTTTAGCCCTCTGCAATGGCAACACATAAGTGGTATAGCTAGTGTCACATGATAACGTGACCGATGGCTCACTAATATTATGATATCTGTACCGCTTAGTTTGTTTGCTATTCTGATTACACAAAAAAAGCATAAAACAATATAAATTGTTGAGTACTTGAGACTTTGGAGATTTAATACAAATAAAATGAAACAAAAACAAATATGGAACATACTATTATACCCAAGGCGAGCGATCCAGGGGAATTGACCCAGAGCTGCATTCATCCCGCCTATGATACGGTCAGCGGCGCTGTCTCCACAATCGAACGCGTCTAACTCGTTCCAAGCAGGGTGATGTGAAACCTCCAACCACGTGTCTATATATGTACAGGTTCATTTAACATAATTAAATATTATAAACGAAAAACATTTCAGATTCAGGTGAATGAGTGATTTCATAAGAATGGAGAGAAAATTTAGGCAGGTTCACTGCCTACGCTTTTTCTAGAGACTGCACAGAGTTTTTAAAATGAGTAGATATATTAAGTTTTGAAGGTCGGCTACAATCAATGGCTACAGTAACCGTTTACTATCTGTGGTGTATATTTGTTTGTCACCACTATGGTATAAAAAAAATATTAATATAGTATAAAACTTTTGTCGTTCTTGTTCACGACACTTAATAATGAATTGTTAGTAAGAATCAAAATTTATTATGATTATCAGAGCAGATCAATCTTTACAAGCAGCACATGTTCACAAGTATAATGATGAGCCGGTCATTATTGCGCTCAACCATATTTTAGGGACACCAATGACCCGGCCTATCAACGCCACCACTTGTCTAGACATTTTAGTGAGAATGACTCATGACACTCGACCACGTCAAAAGTAGGTAATGGATATATTATGTCAATATCATATGCCTCCATATGATATTGACATAATATATCCATTACCTACTTTTGATCCACATTTGAGCCACAGGGAAAAACCAAATAAATAGTACATCTAACATAGACGATGGTAAACATTTTTGGAGCCATTTGACTGAAGCTCACAGTTCTTAGGCTTCAGAATAGAATGTAATAAGGCAAAAACGGTATGGCAGAACTATACAGAAGCTAGAGAGAATATGTATATAGGCAGATTTATATACAAATACAAAAAATGTACAAAACAAATCGATGAGGATAGCATATAATTTAGATGGCGAGTGGTATCTGACAGTTACATGAGCACACCACGATCATCACGTTATCGTGTGTTACCTCTAGTGTATTGTCAGTCTGTAGAATTAGGGCGTCTCTGTTCCCTCTAATTTCACTGTCATGTTTACTCATACAATTATCGAATTCACAGTCACACATTATAGTTTTTAATATGTGACATTATGTACGTTGTACAGGTTAACTGCATCAATCATTATAAATTGAATACGTGTCAATTAATATGAAGTAGGTAGCCATTACAAAGCCAATCAGAATTAGTCACAGGAATATTATGAAATAACGAATCGCTAATTCGATATAGTCACCAAATTAATTATAGCTGGGGATATACCTATTTTGAATAGATCATTAAGTTGTTCAACTTACTATTTAATGACGCTGTTTCATTACCGCCATTACTCCTCATCACAAATATTAGCATTAAGTAGAATTTCCACTGGATCATAATGGATAATGGATAAACGCGTTTTTATTTCATGTGTTCTAAATAACATGTACTTTCTGTATGTACAGATTCATGACTGGAGGTTTCATGGTTGCAGCTCGCAGTAATAACGGTATATGAAGTTAAAATGACTGCGATAAACAATTGGATTCGCGCGCGATATCGACTGAAAAACGCGAGTTAACAACAAATCGTGCCGAAACGTTAGACGCTAATTAGAAAAGTCAATATTTTAATCTATCATAGACAGATTATAACGTCTATGTATGTTATTAATTTGGCATTGAATCATGGGAATCAATAAATTACTAAAGTTTTGTTTCACTCAAGTTTATATTGGAATTTTGCTTAGGTACTCAAAACAACCAACTATTAATTATCAATGTAATTTCTAATATCACAAAATAAAATTATTAAAAAAATGTACGTATAATATATACATATATTGTATATACATATAATAACTACAACAACTTGAATTCTTAAGTAAGAAGTTTATGAGCTTTGAAAGCTGTAAACATAAAGTTGCATCATTAAGGATGCTTACTTTTTGGTTTGGATGCCCAAAAAAAAAAGGTATATATTTCCAAAGATTACCTATAGAAAATGATATCATTTTAAAGTTGAATCATTTTCTCAGAATATATTTTCTTTTATGCTTTAGGATATTAGATTGTCCATTTGTAGAATAAGTTACGACTGTTTCCTTCCTACTGATTCAGGATTTTTGTTTAAGTAAATTAAACCAACCTACCAGTTTATTTAATATGGGTATTTTTATATATTACTAACTGTTGGAACATCTCGGCTTCGCTTAGGTGGTCACATTCCATATGTGTTTTGCCATAACCTGAAAATTCTATAACGCTGCTTGCTGCTTCTGCTTTATGTTTGTTAATATTCAGCTTTATATAATTTTATCAATTCATATCAAATTGGATTTAAAAATAATCATATGATCTTGGATCATATTTCAACAACGGCATTCTTATGTTTGTAGTATCTTAATTTATTTATTTACACAATATATAGGTACATATATTTTTTTTCGTACATTAAACGAAAGAAATATAGTTATTGGTACATAGCACACGTGTTTCAGTACGTACGTTTAGTTATAGTACGTTATGAAATATCTTCGCCTATTCTGTACTAATTACTACTCGTACGTAAAATAGAATACCTAAGAAGTTTTCTGAAATGGAAATATTTAAATTACCGTACTAGTTTACTATAATAATAGTACAAGAAACTTAAAATACAGTAGATACCTAATCGCCCTGTACAAAAATAGCTTATTGTAATATAAAATGATTAATTTTGAGAATTCACGAATATTAGGTACTACCAAATATAATGTTATCGGTGGTGGCATATTATTATTCTTATTCCTTGTTACATTTGAGTTCAAATAGACCTTAATAAACCATCATATACTATTCACAAGCAGTTAGGTATTTATAGATATATATATATATATATATATATAAATAATTACATTTTACTGCAACGGAAACCTTTTCTATTCTAAGTAAGTGAGTCAGTAGGGGATCTACAAAGTTCTTAACAAGATTTAAATTTTTTACGGTAACCACAACTAACAATTAACGCAATAAAACAACTTCCGATATATTCCACGAATACGTCAATTCATAGGTACATTTATTTTCATGGGTTATATTGATGTTGTGGTCATCACTAAATTAAAAATCGACTTCTAAGTTTCTGTAAGCAGTAACTGTTTAAATTGATCTAGTTGTTTGGTTAAGTATCGGGTTCCTACTTTATTTAGACATTTGTGAAAGGGGTTGTCAAAATCGGGAACTTTTGGGTTTATTACTTTTAATACAAATTAGAGGTAAGGCGGATATCCACTCTGGAAACCGTTATGTTCAATTCTTTGTATAAGGTCTAAAATTACCAGACTTCATCTTCTATTGTTGTCTTGTATATCTAAGCTATTAGCAAAGGTAGCACTATACCATCATCATCCATAATGACATTATGCAATAGGAAATTTATGATTGCTACGGTTCAGTAATTCCGGTACTATATTACGAAATAATATTTCCCCTGACTTTGTCGACATAACCAAGAATTTATTATATACATGACTTTGTCTGTCTTGTTTTAAGGGCTGTTGTATAGTAAGTAGAATAAACCGATTCAACTCATATTTTACTATAATAAAATTAACTAAATTTCCAATAAGGAGACTATCTAAAAAGTCATCTGTATGCATTTTGTAATTAAACAATGCAAGCAGTATATTCAATGATATAATTATAATTGATATTTTATGGGAGGTGAGATGTTGACTGCGCGCGCGCACCATTCACTGTGATTTCCGCGGAGCCAGTATGGTAATGACCGTCATCTCGTTATGTCCGTCGCCAATGTTCACTCACTTCGTCATTCTGTCCATATCTCGGTTCAGATAACATCGTATCATCTTCGGAACTATATATATTTAGACGAAAAATTGAGTGAGAAATATCGGAGTGCCCATAAGGAAAAAGGGGCAATACATAAGCGGCGTGCGGACATACGAAGGCATCATTTGTTTTGACCCCCGATAACCTGTGTGTAGGATAATAAAATGAATAAATAATACGACTAACTTGTACAGACTTGGTAGTGTGGGTTTACGGTGCAGTATTAAATTAGTGATACAAATAACTTTTGTTGTAAATAGTGATGTTGTGACATACGAACAACAAGTGATGTTGAGAAGATAGATCTGGAAGTGAGACCTTTATCATGGCGAAGTACTTACTGTATATTTATGTCCTCGTGCCTCTACTGATGCCAATAAAATGTCGTAAGTTCAGTTGTTAATTAAAGTGAACCGGAAAATCTGCTTATTGAAATTCAAACCGTGGATAGAGGCGTTTAAAATCGCATATACTTAAATTAGTGCAGTTATAGAATAACTGTACTAATTTCCGTATATGTGTATACACTACAAGTAAAATATTATGCAATTGTATTAAACACTCGCATTTAAATGTGAATTAATTCTATAATTTATATTGAATGCTTAGACCAGGCCCGTGGGAAAGGTAAGGTACCCACTATTGGGAAACTAACGCATAATAACTTTAAGTGTATAGTTACATTAGATACCAATATTATAGATAACATAATATTACATACCAATATTAATTTAGAAAAATATATCATGTATAGTATTGTAGGTATATAAATATACTAACTAGGTCAATATCAACTTTATAATTAAAATTAATTAGATAACAAAATTAATGTAAATTTGAATAAATAAATAATCATTAAATTATTAGTTTGTCATGGAAACATTTATTTGTTCGCAGAGATGACTAAATAGAATATATGTAATCTTAGTTTCGGTAGGAATAGAACTAAAGTAAAATTATTAAAATGTAATGTAAAATTCTTGTCAGTAGGAATTTCCTAATAGCGCAGTACTTCTAATTTATGTAGTACAGTTAGTGTTTGGTTCCATTTTCAATCGATTACGAAGATGTGACTCGCAATGAACGTGTATTTCGCTAATTTATTTTTAGAATATTCCTTGAATTACGAGGACAATTCTTACGGAGAGCAAAAGTTAAAAAATTGCGCTTACCAACACATTTAGCGATCATTTTCATATCACATAAGAGGAATTCTGTATTATTTATTCTCAGATAGGTACTAAATGCACCTATTAAACTGAAACATGGAATGGCTCCGAAATAAGCATTCGATTTAATAAAATATTTAACACAAAATTATTGTGTTAGTTATTAAATTTTATATAATTAATTGGCCAATCGTTGGACGGATTACGAAAAGCATTGAAATGTCTTGTTCTGTGTATTATTTATGTCTATGCAAATTTTATAGCTTTATATCATATACATAATATTACATAAGAGACTTTGTACCAGAATCTCTACCATAGGCGTCATGTTGTTTTTGTGATGTTGTTTACCCGTATGTATAGATACTATATGTGATAGTCACTACTTTACATCACAGTAGTTAGTTGCCGTTGCACACTATTTTATTTAAAAAAAATATATACAATTCAATTATTACATTGATTCTTCACCAAAACAAACTACCACTGCGCCCTTATTTCCCATTTTTCTGTCGATAACTTTGATTATGGTAAACCTGCTGCGACATTTCTACCATATTTCTAAAATAAGACAAAGTGCGTAGATTTAACGATAGAAATTACCGTCGCCGCTAAGTTACAAACCTAATTCGGAGTGGTGAAATGGAAATATACAGTATATTTTCTTTAGTTCAACAAGCAAATTTTTATACAAGTGGCAAAAGCAAACCAATTCTTTACTATCGAACCAAGCTCTTTACGTGGATCTTTAAGTAGATCCTTGATTATACTTGCATTAACATACTTACAGCTTGCCATAAGGCTTCGACAGTGAAGCCCTATGGATCGTAGCCCCCACACTTAGAACTTGTGTAACTCCCGTCGAATCTCCCGTAGACCACTTCGGATACCATTAATCTACGTCACTAATGAATAAAATATTTATTTTATAACATAGATGACCGCTACATTTTGTTTTCTATTTTATTACAGTATTCGCAGGCGAAAGCTGTGTAGCTGACAACCAGCCAGGAACGTGTGGTCCCCTGGACAGTTGTCAGCCCATTTTAGATGAGATCAAAAGAGCTGGTAATCCTATACCATATATCTTGAACAAGAAACTACAATCGGTAACATGTGGTTTCGACACTCATAATCCTTTGGTAAGTTTTGTAATCGAATCTACACATACTTATAAGTTATTTTTCTCGTTCTCTCTTTCTGTAATAGCAAGTGAAAATAGATTTTTTTGTTAACACCAACATCACATTCTTAGTGACATCCCTAAAAGGAAAAAATATTCCTTTCTTATAATACAGTACAAAAAGAAAACTTAGGCATTTCTTACTTATTCTTTCTCAATACAGTATTTTATTTAATATTAGTATTAAATAATAAAGAAATACTTTCACTAAATCCATATTATGTGAAAATTCAAAATGATGACTATAAATCATATCTCACTTATATATATACAGTTTTTAAATCAGCCCAATTTAAACCAGTTATTAATATTCTATGGTCGTTCCAAGATTTTCGAAATATGCAGAAACGGAATAAATATAAATTTAAAATTCGCAGGTATGTTGTGTCTTACCCAAAGATACCAATGAGGATAATATGTGGCCAAATGTAAACAATACACCAAATCGAGCCAAACCCAAACCCAATCCCTTAGACAAGCAGTCGGGTGAAGACGAGGATACTGAAATATTCGATGAACTCCAAAATCATCGTAATTTTCACCTTATGCCGCTTAAAGACTGCGGCATCTCTGACGTTTATAGAGTACTTGGTGGAAAAAGGACCAATCTGTTCGAAATGCCTTGGATGGTGCTAATAGCATATGACTCAGGTAAATATCTAATACATTTTGTTAATACTTTTCTATACTTCCTTTAATTAACCTTAAAGGTATGGTAAATTTATTAGTGTTAAACCAGCGTTATTTTTATATAATTAATTATATATATTTGTAATTTAAAGTTTAGGTTAAAGTTAGATATTTTTATCCATCTGACTTTTGACAGATAATCTATCATTGCGCCAAATTTCATTGGGATCCATCCAGCCGTTTAGTCGCGAAAAGGTGACAAATACAAAGACAGACATACTTATCTCGTATATGCTCGTATTGACATACTAACTTTTGAAATTGTATTTTCTTGTTTAGCTCGAGGCAGAAAGCTCAGTTGTGGTGGCACCCTAATCTCTGAACGGTACGTGTTGACTGCGGCCCACTGTGTGTCGTTTTTGGGAAAAAAACTGAAGTTGTCAGGTGTGGTGCTTGGAGAACACGACGTCAGGTCGGACCCAGACTGCGAAATAATTGACGACAAACCCAACTGCGCAGCCAATGTTCGGGTAAGTGTTTGTTTTATACTCGATGACTATATAATACATGTTCTTACAATTTTTGTTTGACTAAGATAATATATGGTAAAGTTGTCTTCAGTTGATTTTACACTCGAATTTGCTAATTATTCCTTGAACATTTTATTTACTTTCCTTCCTTTCCCTTCTTCTGTTCTAGTCCATACTGTTTTCTTTCATTCTAGCATATTCTTTGCCGCTCAATCCTGATTAATCCTATTCTATCACGTTCTAATGGATTGGGATTGGAATGAGTGAAGGGGACAGACAGCAATTGGGTCCACAATCCGCATTACTAACGCGGATTGTGGACCCAATTGCTAGCAATGTACCATGTCAGTTTGATCTTCACGCGGTTTCCCTTAAAACAATCATGATATATTCCTGGTGATCTTGTCATGAGCGAACTGACATGGCCTTATGTTCATATCATAGGCGGGTTCACCATTCCATTATCATTAATAAAAAAATGCATTATTCTACAGAATCTTTTTATTGACAGATTGTGCGATAGTTTGTATTGGGGAAAATACATATTTTTCTCGAGTATTTTTTTTTTCTACTTATAAAGCTCTCTAGAACTAACTGAACATATTACACCGACCCTAAGTAAATGGCATAAGGAAGAAGCAGATGCTGAAATGTGTCTAGAACTTTAAGGAAAATCGATTTAAGAAATTGAAAGTTTCCTTGCAACAAGTTTTTAATTAAGCTTAAACTAGAAACAACAAAACAAATAAATTGACAGTCCATATGTACGTACTTAGTTTCTTTTAAACTTTCGAGTTTCGCTAGCGAAAGTTGTCCAGATTTATCTTACATAGATATTATAGCTGTATTTAGAATGGACGGTAGAGAGATACACACAATAGGTATGTATAGAAAGTTTGTGCTTTAGGGCATGTCTTTTTCCCCTCGGAAATGCATATCAACTTGTCTCATTGTAATTTAAAATACTGCACATAATAATATAATTTTATATTATTATTTATTTTGCAGTTAATAATAATATAAAATTTTGAAAAGTTTATCTAAATCTCATGTTTTGAATATTTTCAGAATGTGGGGATAGAGGAGGTAAAAGCTCACCCCGGTTACAGTCCACAAAGCCTGTTTGATGATATTGCAATAGTAAGGTTGTCTGAACCAGCGGACTTTAATTTGGGTACGTTTGTAGAAGAATAATTACATTCCTTGTATGTTATACATCTTTGTATTCCTAAATACGACAATCGTTGAGGATAAAAATTGATGATGATCTCGGGGGGAGACTAGTTCACATGAAGGTATATTATTGCAGAGAGATCCGTCACTAGATGATATGATGTATTTGACGTGGAAAGATAAAACATTAGAATAGAATAGAGAATATATATACCTAAATATATACAGAATAGAATTGACACTAAATACAAGCATTAAAATTCCATTCATTCAGTACAGTTCAGTAGAGAAACATTCATGTAGAAGTTTTATATATATTAAGATTAATCCAATACCTTTTTCTTATACACCTAAATCATCTACATGCGTGTTAGTCAGCAAAACTCTTTCTAAATGGCTAAACCGTTTTGGATGAAATTTTGTGACTATTTAAATTGATTCCTGGATTTATTGATAACACAATTGAACTCAGTAGGTCAATCAGTTTATGAAAAATAAAAATAAATTAGTTACATCCTCATAATAAATTTTATAGCATATATTATTACTATATAAGTTTTAATTAAGTACCCAAAATTATTGCTAGACACAAATCTAATTATATTTTGATATCTTTCTTTACAGACAGCATGAAACCAATTTGTTTGCCGTTTACTAAAAAACTTCGGGATAAGAACTTGGTGGGCTTAGGTGCAACTGTAGCTGGTTGGGGAGCCACCGAAGATGGTCTGCAGTCTCCCGTGTTACTTAACGTGGAGTTACCAGTACTTAAAAATCAAATCTGTATAAATGCTTATAACGGGTATGTACACAACTTATTTTGTATTAAAAATATTTATTTAATTTATTTTTCGATCACAAATATCCTTAATTTTATTTTAAATCATTGTATAGCGATAGAAGAATTAAAATACGTCACAGGCAACCAGTGGTTTAATATAATTAAAATTAATTTTATAAAAATTTACTTAATAAAAAATTAAATACATGTAAAAAGATGACCTCGGTGGCCTAGCGGTCTGGCACACCGCTTTACGTCCGATGGTCGCGAGTTCGATTACTCGCACGGCACAAACATTTGTATTCATGTGTATGATCGTTTGTATCGGTCTGGGTATTTTCTATGTATAATATGTATGTATTTACGAAAAAAAATCTATGTATTTCTATCTGTTATCTAGTAACCATATTACAACCTTTAGCTGGCTAAATTGGGTCTAGATGGCTCTGTGTGAATAGTCCTGAGATTATTATTATTATTAAACATAATAAAAATTAATGGTTACTCGAATGACTACAACATGCCTGAACAGTTCTTAATATTCAACACAAAGATAGATTATACTATAAGGATGGTAATAGATTTTATCTTAAAAAGCAGACGAAGTCGCGTGTAACCGCTAGTATTCAATAAACAGCGAAATACATACTGATATAATTACTGAGATAAATAATTGTTCGTTTCTCAGACATTTATGATAATAAAAGCAAATGTTTATACATTCACGTGTAACCAGTTTCATTTTCAAACTAGTTTTTTCGAAGAGCGAACTTATCTGCGTCTCATTAATTCTATATTACGTTCTAAGAATTTATTTATTCATACATTGTTACTTTATAATGAACAAATTGTTGCTCAGAGGGACTCGTATTAACATTAGACTGTCAAATTATTCTCCCGTATTGAAAAATAAATAATATAATTATTACGTTACCAACGTACCTACCAATATATTAGCTTTTTATTTTCCAGTTAGAGAGATACATGTATATATTTGTCATATAGATGTTTGTCTGTTCGGTTTATATTAATAATTAATTCATTTTATGGAATGTAATAAATCTTAAGTCTAAAACTGAAAAATGTCTACAGTGACAAAATATTGCGAAACAAAAACGAAATAATAATTTCCAGTCTAGATTGTGCCAATAAATGGATAATATTATGACGTTGGGTTGTCACTAATATTTTGCTATTTCGTTTTGTTTTGTGAGAATTTGTTTCGGAACTGACGCATAAGGAACTTTTACTGGCTCATTACATGTCACTGATCTTACTAAGGTAGATCTTCAGAATAGCATCGCATGAGGAGTGCGACGCCTGTCATCTGAGGTGATATGTCTTTAGAGCTATATTGTCAGCTTGTTTGCCATTCTAATATTAATAGCAAAATATTTTTTACAGAACTCTTCGGATATATGATAGTCAAATATGTGCGGGTGGTGTTCCTGACGAGGATTCTTGTGCTGGCGACTCAGGCGGTCCACTCACTTACCCGTTTGTTCTCGAGAAACTGGGCGCACGGAATGTCCAAATAGGGATCGTCTCTTATGGCCCTAAACGCTGCGGAATGGGCGGGTATCCAGGAATATACACAAGAGTATCTAATTATCTTAAGTGGATCTTGGATAACATGCGGGATTAAATTACAACCATATGCCGCACCTCCCCATAAATAGTGCCATATGTAGATATGTTAAAAATATTGAAATCTTTATTATTGTACATATTATTTGCTAATCCAACAGACGGTGTCTAGTCATATTGAACGCGCAGACTTACACCAAATGCGTGAATTAAATTTGTCCTTGAGTTTCTGAAATTTTACAACTTTCTTAATTGTTCGTTCCTTGATGGTGACCTATATTTTGGTCTTAGATTATGACACTGGTTGAGAGGAGGTGCTGTGTGCTTTTGATTACATGTTTAAAAGAATAAATTGCAGATGTTAAAGGTAATGGATATTATAATCAGAGTTTTAATTAAGTAAACGATACGTAAAACAAATTTATTGACTAGTCGTTCCATTACTGCTTATCTCGTACTGATTTAGTTGAATAGGGAGTAACTTAATAGAATACCTAGTTGTAATACTCAAGTAGAATATTAGGGTATTCTATTGTTCAGACATGCTTAGCTGCTTAATTTGGACTAAATTAGTAGGTACTAACCCAGTCCGAAATAGATTTATTATATGATTTATTTGAACAATACAACGCTGGCAGATAGCCAGTGAATGATAGGAGGATAGTATTAGGTCATTAGCCCATCCTGATGAACTCATTAGGGATTAACCACGATCGCGTGGAAATCGATGAGATAAGATACATTATTACCGATAGCACTTTTGATACCCAAATAGTCTTAGATACGTGACCACTATATCTACATATTAAATGCTTTGTATTATGAGAATAACAAAATTTTGTAAAAGGAGATTAGGCCTTTAAAAAGTACCAAAAACAGTAATTAAATATTTAAGCAAACATGTTTTTGTTCGATGCCTTCATGTAGCGTGTTAATAATATTACTACGAAATAGTTATGGTTGCCTGAAACAATCTAACATTAATAATAGGTATCTCTTGAGTCGTAATCGTATTGTAATATGTACAAGTTATGTGCACCTAAGTATACGCGTATTAAAATAGTTTAATATGCGTATACTTAGGTGCACAGGACTTAGGACATTTTAAATACATACTTAATTACATATGATAATTGCACGAGATATGATTGAGAAATTAATAGGTTCGAACCTATTGTTAGTTATCATAGTTTTCAGGAATTCAGAGTCAGCACTCAAAAATATTTCTATTTATAATACCAGTTGAGTTTTTTAACAGTTCTTCTCAATTGGGGTAGTCTGATGAACTGGACAGTATAGAGCAATTTGATGTTTATAAGTGGCACTTGCTTTGAAACATAAGTAATGTCACTGGCACCACAGTTGTAGTGATAATTTTTATATTATAATTGTTATATTACATATATAATAGGTATATATTATGTATGAGTAGGACTTCTTCATTGTTCTATGAGTAAACTTTACAGAATGATATTATAAAAAATAAATTTACTAGTTACTTAGATAAAAATAGTAATCCTGACAATATATGGACCCCTAGATTACATATACATTAATTATCTAGAGAAAAATAGATTTGATAAGTGCTCAAACCACAATTTGCTTAAAAAATATTAATCATTATTTATAATATTTTAGGTTTATACTAATTGTAAGAGGATTCTGTACTTACGGATTACAGTTTTGTATATGTGAACTTGTTAGATCTGTCTAAACTAAGAATGCTAAGAATATAGAAATATTAATCGCCATTGTATATTTGAAGTTACATGACAATTAAAAACCTACATTAATTGAGTCAAAATAAGATAAATTTTGTATAAAACCACTCAAGTACTCCCACAACTCTTGAGGCCAATAAAAGAATAATTCTGAGTAGGTACTACGATTTCAATAAAGTAAGCTTATAACCACTAAGTAATAGAGATTATGAAATTTTCTTCCCTAAAGCTTTTTACATCTTTTTACATCGTTATTTTTTTTGTATTTGTAGATTAGATATGTCGAATATAATGAGATTATTAACAATATATTAAATCAAATGTGACCGTTTAAGTAGGTACTAATTTGCTAATAAATAATTTTCTTGCGGTTGTGATTAAATGAGTGACTGATAATTAAAGTGTACATATTTAATAAATACTTAGCATAATTGTAAAAACTAAGGAACTACTTCATACTAACACTTATATCATGTTTTGACTACAGTTGTATGAATAAGATTTAGTTGGAATAACGTCAGAACTGGATGAAAAAGAGGTGTGCTAAGTGTTCCCGTAGTTTATTAAAAATAAAACTTTATAAAACTATACATTTATTACTTTTCATTCACTACGACAATTGACAATACCTCTACCTATCCTACCCTGTTTAAGTAAGAAGTCGTTAAAATACATTTATTTGTCTGCCTAATTATTACTCATTACACGGGAATTAAAGCTGTAAAATATGCGAATGCCAAGACTTTCTGGTCCTAAGTTATCTTTATCTTTACTTGTATGTATCTAAGTAAATCTTACAAAGGGATTAATGTTTATAAAATAAAAGAGGTTGACCAAAAAAAACTGGCCTCAAACTGGTGAAATGGGAAAAAAGAACATCAGTGCATGTATGTACATCTAATAATAAAGATTTTAAATCTGTCCTAATAATAATATCATAAATCTAAAGAGTTTGTTTATTTGTTTGTTTAAACGCATTTTAATTTTAATTGCATTTTGGTCCATTAGAACAGGAAGGCTTTAAGCTATATGATATTACGCTACGACAAATAGGAGCGGACCTGCATTGAAAAACATTACAAAAAGTGGAGAAATGAAACGCAGACGATGTTGCGCGGGTCAGCTAGTTACATATAAAGTCTAGTTGGTTACGATTTCACAATCAAATTAATGAAATGAATTTTTAATTATTTTTGATCAAATTAATTCACCATTATTAACAAGTTTTTATGTTATTTTATATTGTTACATTCTTTAAAATCTGACATATTTTTGTTAAAACTATAAAAGATTTCACTGTTTATTCAGTTGAAGATTGGGTAAAGGTAAGTTACGTATAATATACATGTATTTTATAACTGCTTAATCTTTAATAGTCAAAGAATACTACTGTAAGTACCAAATATCATAAAATCGTATTAAAAATTGTAAAATCTTGTATATGTGTATGTGTATAATAATATTTAGGAATTAATTTTATATATAATAATCAATAAATATGTTCTAATATCATATTACCACATCATTAACATTCTTGTAGTCATTATTTTTTTGGATTCTTGAATTGTCACCAGATATGTCATCCTTGTATATAAACATCAAATTTAATCATTTTTACCATATTTATTAGATAATTCAGAAAGTCATTGTTACTATAATAATGTCAAAATAACGGTGTAGTCATAACATTAGTTTGGTGCGTTGTCAATTATGATATCAAAAAGCATAATAGCAGTGAAAACTGTAGGTAAGTCCTGCATGCGGTAAACCGGTATGTTCCAATAGACCAAAGGAGGAGTATGGAGATTCTAAGTCGAAACGAAATGCAGTTCGTTTTGCAGCTACTGCAGGAAACCGAAGATTCTCGTCTCCTAGAGAAACAACATCAAGGCCAGCATCAGAATTATTATATGCTAGTGCCGCACCAGCTGTAAACCCTGGAAAGTGAAACCACATATACATTATAAGAAACTTCATCAATTTCAGACCAGCAGTGTACAGAATCTCATATTCGAGTGACTTCATTAGATGTAATGACCATTATTCCATTATATATACTCAATATGTAGCCTGTGATTAGGTCCATATTCATTTCTGTCGATCTTAAAGGGAAATTTATGGACTTATAGCTAGCGTCTATACCTCTGAGACATAAACATAATCGTATATATGTAAGTACAAACACTTCTGGCTCACCTATTTGAACTACCAAGCACAAATACACTGGGAATTAGACTTTAGTGTTCAGAAAAGGTATAAATATAATGGATAGTATGTCTATATCATAGACACAGTGTATTTTGTAGTGTTATACATTGTTGTACAGTGTTGCTTTCCATCTTAATAAGATGTTGTTTCTGGAACGTCTCTAGTCTTACTTAGCCGGACACATGTCGGGGAAAAATATTAAGGAAAAGTTGGTAAAGATTTTCACAAGTAAAAAGAAATCGATTTCTAATGGGTTTTCTTCTGTATTAATAATCACATAAAATAAAGACACGTGTTTCAAAGTTCCTAAAGATGATATTTACTTGATATTTACCTTATCACAGGTCATCGCGATGTATTTGTTACTGCACTTTAGTGTTCTAATTGTAATCGATTACTTTTTTAATCGTTTATATAATATATTACCAGTATGTTTTAGCTTATAGGTATAGTAAATATTATTGTAAATAAGAATATTGACGTAATCCATATTATTATTAAATAAATTTATATTAACAGGTGCATAATTTACGAAACAATTCGATGAACAGTGAGTTATTGAAGAAATGGGACGAAATTTACAGATTCTGGAAGAAACTATGCGACGATCGTTTCAAATGGCAATTGATCAAAAGTATTCTTTCCTTCACACTAGGCCTCAAACTGTTTGCGGATATATCTAGACATATGGCAAAAGTATCAAAACATTGCAAGCCAATTAAATAATTACTAACAACTTTCTTTTCTTTATAATTTTGCTTTTAGATAATCCGTGATATAGTATTTTATATAGTACCTTGTACTTTCTACTCGTAGATATGTATATTATGTTAGATCCTCGCCTCTTTGATCAGTGCAAACTGGTTAAATTTTATTTGTTCTGCACCAGGCCAACATATCTGTAGTGGATTGATCTCATAGTTATATAATTTAGGTATCGCAAATGCAAAATCTCTGAACAAAATATTCTCGTGACGTTAATAACAGCAATATCTAAATCAAGAAATAACCGGTATTTCCCGCGCCCAATGATATGACTCAGATGTATGACTTTTGAACTATACAATATTTATTTACTTAGTTTATATTATAACATAAAGTTTATTCCACACGTTCTGTATTCTGCGATCTAGTTGTGTTTCAAGGTAAAACAAACTAGTATTAAAAGCGTTTGGTGGTGACAATATTGAAGTGTTAGGTAGCCCTAGAATGCTTCTCCTCCTGTGTAGGCAAATATTCAGGAAATTAGATAAGATTTTTATTAGTAGATATCTTAATACACACATGTAGGCTTAATTAAAAATAATATTCATACTTCTTATTACTGTCATGTTGCCTATAAATTTTATATAACAATATATTTATTACTCCTATTTAGTATGAGAAGTTACATAATTATTTAGTACGAGAACATAGTATAAAAAAGTCTTGTCTGTAAGAAAAGAGGTACATTGATAGAACCCAATCTATCCTATTGGGTAATAGCTTTCTGTGTAGATAGGTGCAATGTGGAGACTAGAATCAACTAATGTCAGAAAATAGTATAAAATCAATAATACAAAAATAATAATAAAACTTGTACGTTGAGAAAGAAGTATGTAGGTACTCCCTACATACCTCTTTCTTTACGTGAGCAAACTTCTATTTAGAAATTTTAGAGAATCTATACGTACAATCTAAGTGACACAAATTTTCTTTATTCATAGAATAAAACGTTATCTGGTGTATTTTACTCATTTTACCTACATAATATGAGAAATGCAACCTACTAAACAGCTCAACAGATTTTAATGAAATTTGACGTGAAGAGAGAAAAACCCTTCTAAAAAAACAGTTAATATTTCATGTTTTACCAACATTTCTGTTAACAACACACATATGACAAAACAGAAAACTCGTAATAAAAAAAAAACGAGTAATATGTACCTGTGTGACACCTACACACACCGGTATCAAAACAGAAAACGAAGAGGACAAAGTTAAGGTAAAACAAAATGTTGTAGTAGAGCGAAACTTTGAGGAAAATCCCAACTGCGCAAACAAGATTCAAGTTAGGACCGATCCGTGTTACAGAATAAAAAAATTACAATTCAGGTTCCTGAGAGTTACGTGAACACTTTTGAGTTTTCATACGAACAAACCGTAATATTAGCGAAATATTTATTATATGTGACTAATACTAGATTACACTACACGTGGTTGATTCATTCAATTTTAGGGTGATGGTTATTGGTTCGTTAATACAATATAATATATACAGTTCATAGCTAAGTTTTCTATATTAGGTATATAATTATAATTATAATGACTTTGGTCAATTCACATTGCGCCATCTAGACACTAAGCAGAGCTTTAGGGATACTAGATCAATGATAAAAATACGTAAAATGTTTTTTTAATACATACATAAATAGAAAACATCCAGATCAATATAAACAGTCATTGTCATGAAAATAAATGTTTGCGTTGCTCGAGTAATCGAAGCCGTGACCGTCGGTAGTAGGGTAATGTGCTAAACCCCAAGACGACCGGGGCTGCCGTATTGCGTAAAAATCTGTATTATTTTTATAACACACAATTAGAAACAAATATATAATTGTACGCTACATTTATTTAAAAAAGCTAAGTGTAACTGAGTTTCGTGCCAGTCACCTCAATTGTTATTTTATGTAATATTTCCAATGGCAAACAAGCTAATGGCCCATATGATGGTAAGTGGTCACCGTCGTCCATATACATGATCAGGACCACGGAAATTACATCTTCATGAGACGACTGTAGTGGTATCATTTATGAGTTGCCATTCCGTTGGGACTAAAAATGCTTCCGTACTCTGTAACTACTCCGCCATGTCATATTTTACCCCCTAAACGAAAGACTCGTAACTTCTCTGCCAACTCTCACTCATCCCTCAGCAAAAACAGCTTATATATCTTCATCTTGACGGCTTGCCGTTTGACTGCTGAAATAGGTTACGCAGACGTCTATCTGTAACTGTAGTCTGTAAGTCTAGGTCAGTAGAATTTGCTTTAATAAGCCTGATTTTGGCTGAATCATGGTCATTCTTATTCTAATAAGTATTGTTTATATTCTATTGTATATTATATATACTCTATATTTTTAAGACTTCTACGTGCTGCCAGACAGCATTTGGCTGAATGCGAGTGTAGACCGAAAGCAAAACGCGGATGAAATAGAATTTATAATATATGCACACTTCAAAAATTAAAATAAATATATTTTTTTATCATCTTAGTTAACTTAGTTGTTTGTGTCGGTTACACTAATTTCAAACCTATTATGATAGGAATAGATAGTATGCATATAGACAGATGAGTTATATGAACAAAACATACAAAAATTATCTGAATAGGCACAACTTCATAATACTTGGCGTTTCTACTTTTGTAATATGCTAAAGTGGAGGCAATTCAGTTAATATAATATTTATTCTCACATAAGAAGTCATTGAAAAGTGCTTGCAATTCTGTTAGACCAATGTCAGAGCAAATTATTATTTACATAAAGAATCATCAGTATCCGATTAGTTTTAATGAAGATATCGTTTAACGTCTTACAAAATATATTACCTATATACTATTGAATGGATATATTCAATATACTTCCTCGTTTTGACATACGGGTGAATACTACAAAATATACCTACCTACCTACCTACGTCATTAGAAAATCAGAAATGGCCGCAGAGTGAGGGACCATATTAAAAAAAACATTTGTATTGTTGATAACCTCAGGTTAGATGCTCGAAGGCAAAGTCAGGGTCGGATAATGAAGCTATCAGTCGTCCGCGAGCCGCCCACTGGTCAACAGTACCACTTATTTTAAATAGCGTTCTGTTTAATTCAGTCACTAAGATGAAGTTTACGTACATGAAGATTGCCGCTGTATCTTTAATACTCGTGATATCATTATCTGGAACTGTTGCTCGTAAGTTATTCTAGAAATTTTCAACATAATACTTAGATAAGAAAATATCTGATTAATATACTTAAATCCAATAATAAGCAAGTTTGTTTTGAGGTGATGGCATACTGTTAGAGATATTGTTATAGTATCTTTATAGTCTAAGTAAGCAATTGAAGTGATCAAAGTCATTATTATAATGTCATTCACATTCAGTCATAGAACTTGGATAGTTTGCCTAATTGCTTTGTGAGTTAAGTATACCTACGTCTTTGCATCTATTTTATACATATCATAATTATTTTGATATCTACAATTCTAATATAAAATATTGATGTTGCAGCTGTACCTAATCATAAAAATATAGAGTTTCTGTAACATGTTAAATTATAAATTGAGAAGCTCCTGCTTGTAGCATTCGCTTAAAAACAATAACAACACTTACATATGTAAATTATAAAATTATAGTCAAGTTATTATAAACTAACTAATAAACTAACTAACTAAGTAAAGTTACTATATACTATTTTCATTATAAAATAGTTGAATGGTTTGCCACCTCTCCATATGACTAAAACGCCGCTTTTCATAGTAGACGTTGTTTTGTATATTAACCCGTTGAGTTTAATACACCGCTCACCTTGTGGATATAATATTAAAATATGATACATTTTCTTTGCAAAATAAATTCTGTTAAAATGCAGGTTTTAAACTCCCAGGTTTTAAAATCTCTCTCGATTTTGACAGACCCTCATTCAATCTATCCAATGCTCATAGCTGGCTAACATTCTAATGTATTTTTTATTACGTATTATGTTAATACGTACAATTTCTATATGAAATACTTACCAACATATAGCGTCTGAGGTCACTGGCTGGGATCTTCGGTAACGGTACACGATTATAGCTAAAGCAGGAAAATCTTGTAAGACAACCCGCGTGCACAAAAACTGCATCCGTCTTTATTCGAAACACAAATACATACCAGATATTCTGGGCACAGGTTGTCCTCATTAGAATTAAAGGAAGGTTTAGCCCAATATCACGTTTCTTTATAGTTTTATTAAACAGATATATTTATGGTCGTCGTGCGGACGAAAGTTATCAGCTCTTACGAGATCCTGACATGAGGATGAATGGAAGCGATAACCTTGTGTTGTGCATTCTTGCTCCGTTATTAGACAGAAAATACACAAACTTAACTAACTAGTTCAGAGGATCTAGTATCAGAGGATATAAAAATACAAATATATAAAGAAAATAAATTTACTCTTTCTACAATAATATTAGTACAATTACTTAAATAAGAATAAATCCCCGAAATAATGATCACAACATTCTTAGTAATGATGGTAATGATAAACTACATTATATTTTGTGCTGTAATGTTTTATGTTTTGTATCATTATTTAATGAGTTACTCGTAGATATTTCATTAATAAGAGGTATTGTGTGATCCTTAGTAATTATTTATATGTCTAAGTATAGTTTTGATTGTTCATAATTAATTGTTACGATTAATTACTTTGGTACTTAGATACGAGTCTACTGCAGTACCTACATTTACGTAAATGTAATTTACATTGCTACTCACTTACTGTCTGTTAAATTAATTGTGTTACTTGTATGATGATTTACTTCCTTTACAATATTTATGGATCTACTTCGTGTAAAATCCTTGACAACGAGAGTGTACAAAATAAGAAAAATTAAATGGCACAGAGGACGAAACTGATATTATTTTGTTATACATAAAATATTAGAACTAGATGTAACAATAAGTAGGTAGATAAACTTAGTTTTATTAATTGTTATTTTAGGATTACAATGCCGAATTATTCTAATTTCTGTAAAGATGTAACACATGTGTATAATAAATGATAGGATTAATGAAATTCTATATAGAACTTACCTATAGAACTTACATTATAAAGACACATAAATAAATTTATATAACTTAGAATATGAAATTAAATTAAGTTAATTTTAGATACTCGCAATTGCATATATAATATATTAACTGAAAGAAGAAGACTTTCTGAAATGCATTCCCATTTTTCATGGGAATAAGTTACATCAATATTAAGTAATATCAATATAGATATTTACTTTATGAAACATTTTACCATAAGTGTTTACCATGTAAATAATGCCATTTAGAAAAATCAAAGAATATCCTTTTAAATAATAATGAAGACGATAATTTACCAATACCATTTAATATAACGGTTGATATTCCGCATCACTGGTCTTATGAAAAAATATAGCGCTCACATGCTTAATAACAAGATAAACTTGTTTACGCTAATGTTATGCGTGTATTTAAAAACATAGACAAAGAGAATTAGGAATCTACTGTGAATGTTGTAAACCATCTACATACATATATGATAATATCATGAAAGTTTGTCAGTTTAGATGTTCATGGTAATCTCCGGTATCTAGTAATTATACTGTTTTGAAAATTCCTATCCATATAACAACACGCTGCAACCTATAGAAACGGAGCTTCAGTGAAAATGTCGCAAAAACGGGGAAAATATGTAAAAGTTTAATGCCTACAGGTGTGAATAACGTTATGAATCAAATAAATTTTTATTAGAATAGGTATTCATTTAATACAATTGGGGTAGTTTGTTTTTATGAAACGAAATCGAAAATTACTCTTAAATTAATTTTTACAAATTGCAATGTTTCAGAGCGATGTAATGGAGGTGTACAATGCATTTTGCTGTCAGAATGTACTGGTCTGTTCCATCAACTGCAGCAAGGCAACACTCCACAACTAACGAGGCTTCTGCGAACTTTACATTGCGGTTTTGAATATGATAACCCGAAGGTAAACAACGAGTCATCTACATATAATATTATATACCTACCTATATTTTTATATACAAATATAATAATTATAGCTATAAACTAGGTACTTATTTATAGTAGGAAATCATTGCGACTAAGTATTCATATTTTATAGTTTCGAGACTTGAGGGCAGAGATCAAATTGATATGAAATTATAATCAAGTAAGCAAGTGTTTTAAGCGCAATATATCATCATGTAGGTAGCCAATTGACTATTGAAAATTGCTTGAAAATTAATGTATTAAAAAAATTGGTCTCTCAAGTTGAATGTTTTTTAACTCACCAGAGTTAGTGGTTAATTCATATACCATAACAAATTTCATAAAGACTGACTAGTGCTTACGTAAATAACAAATAAACTCACATTATTTATGAAATAGTATGAGATAATATCATTTCTGAGCCTCCGATATATCGACGTTGTTACAACATTTTAATAACAGTGTTTAAGATTGTACGTGATATATTCCAATTTGCTTTTCAGATTTGCTGTCCCCCAGAATTTGGGGCGGAACCGTCTGGTGGCATCTCTAGCAGAAATGAAGATCCTGTATCTCTTTTACCTGGGTATAACGTCTGCGGCATACAAAATGAAGATAAAATTGTTGGAGGAACTCAAGCGGATATTGACGAACATCCATGGATGGTGCTATTGCGATATGATAAACGTAATGTATTATATCTAATATATTTATATATAGTGTACTATGCAAATAAAAGAGATAGCTGGAGTGCATGAAAGATAATAGGTATGGAGAGAAAAGGATAGATTACTGACAAGAATGGCAAATACTTACATTATATATTTCTGCCGACTCTAACCGATCTGAATTAAGGAAAGAAATGTGATAATGACGACGATGATACTGATATATTTGTTTCAAAATAAAATAATACAAAGTACTATATCCGAAATAATCCGAAAGTTATTCAATTTAATTCATAAGCACCCATATTTTTAATCAAATTAATTCAACATTCATTTTCTCCATACTATAGCTAACGGGTGGGGTTTTTACTGTGGCGGAGTCCTAATTTCTTCAAGATACGTCATGACTGCAGCTCATTGTGTGAAAGGCGATGATCTTCCTACTAACTGGAGATTGTGAGTTGATTTTATTCCATCTACAGTAGGTATTTTTACAAGTTGAAGATAATTTTATGAACTGCGCAATTCTTGGGATCGTTTATTATTTTAAATCGCTGTAGATAAAGAATTTGCTATTTGATGGGGTCAGTTTATTTAACTATACACATTTATTAATTTACCTGGGTGCGCTAAGAATGGTATTAACTAGTCCAAATTATTACGAATAGTAGATATTTCAATGTAAGAGTATGTTTGTTTGTTACTTTAACGGCTGTACTGTTGAACCGATCCTAATGAAATTAGGCGTGAAAATATATAGTCTATGTCCAAAGAAGACCAACTCGCTGGTAATGTATATGTGATGTATGTGACAACTTCGAACTAATTTAGAAACATCTAGATAATGTAATAATATATTATACAGATCTCAAGTACGTCTCGGTGAGTGGAACACATCGAGCTCTGTAGACTGTGTGGGTGATGACTGCAGCGGTCCAGTACAAGATATATCGATAGAGCAGACTATCGCTCACGAAGGCTATGACCCGTCTGATAAGGACCAACAAAACGATATAGCGCTGTTGAGGTTGTCACGCAATGCACAATTTAATGGTAAGACTGCAAAACCTATATGTTATAGCCTTAATTAAATATATAATAATACGCATATGAACTAAACGCATTGACAGACCGTTTTTATGCGATTGGAATGGCAAACAAGTCCACATGATGGTAAGTGAAAGCGTCAAATTTTACATGAACAGGACCACAGATACGTAATCACGTGAATCTCGTGTCAGTGGTGCACTCATGCGTCGTCATTCCGGAGCATTAAGACAAACAAGCTAACAATTCGCTTGATGCGTTAACCATACTTTATTTAACATGCCTGCCGGATTGCAGCTAATAAAAGAACAGTTTGATGGTATCGTTCTGCCACATAAATAAGTCTACCATGTTACCAACAAACAATCACGTAATTTGGTGGAAACGCAGTAATGGAATGCAGTATTGGAGACCACAAAATGCATTTTGAGACCTAGTCTTCTTTATGTGTTGCAATTCTTGACACCTAGGTATAAGATTTACACTGGCGTACTCTCAATAATTTTATTGCAGTATCCTCAAACTCTGAGAATCTGACCAGAAAACAAGCATTAGTTATAAGCGTAGTTATAAAATTATTACATTAGTCATACATATATAATACTTCCTATTAGAATAGAATAGAAAATCATTTATTCAAATAAACTTAATTTAAGCACTTTTGAATAGTCATAACAATTTGTTTTTTATCTACCACTCGTTCGGAAAGCTGTCTCATCACAAGAAGAACGAGCAAGAAACTTGTGTGTTGCTCTTTTAAATAACCCTTGTAAGTTTACATTTACAAGTCGAAACGTGTGAATACAAACTACCAACAAGCACTAATTTTTTGGGTCAAATATAATCATGCAATAAGATTAAATCAGTCGTAGTGATAAGAGCAGACCAGTCCCTACAAGCAGCACTCGTTCACGAGTATGACGGATGAGCCAGCCATCACTGCGCTCGACCATATTTTAGGGAGCCCATTGACCCGGCCCACCACGCCGCCACATGTCTGGACATTTTAGTGAGCATGACTACTCATTCCACACGACCACGTCACAGCTACAAAAATTACTATATGGTAGTTACAGTATTCGCACTTTACATAAGGATGCATGCGGCAATCAATACAAAAGCCGCTACGCTATCATATATCAAGAAAGCAGTATGAAAATTAAAATTATAACGTTGTCCGCAAATAAACTTATTCTTGCTATATATTGCTATCATCTATAAATTCATCTATCTTATAATAGGCTTTTTTACATAACATTTGTTTAATATAAGATTTGAATTGCCGCTCTGTAAGATTTAGCGTAGACTCTGGCAGTTTATTATAGAATCTTACGCAATTACCATAAAATGAATTACTAACTTTGTGTAGACGGCATTTAGGTAAAATTACCTTATTTTTATTGCGTAAGTTTCTACTTGTACAGTCTTTAAGTTTCTTGAAACTATCTAAGTTTTTCCTTGTATACATAATATTTTCATAAATGTATGTATGTATTCTGTTCTGTACTTAGCTTCTTTGGTGATGTCAATCAATTGAATAGTTTTTATAATAATATTAGTACAGTAACTCTGTACTGTATTATGTGTTAACGAAAATAAAGAAAATTTGTTATCGTTTCAGATTTTGTGAAGCCCATTTGCTTGCCAATCTCCAATGAATTGAGACACTCTGGTTTTGTCGGCTATGACATGGAAGTGGCTGGATGGGGCAAGACCGAATCACGTAAGTTAAGAAAAAACAATCAAAATTATAGCATAGTACATAGGACATAAATTTGATGTCATGTAATTCAGTTAAGTAATAATTGTCAACAAAAAATTCTTTTAACCGTACTCTTCTCTCGTACTACTTCACCGGAGTAAAATAGTTTTAGAGTTAAAAAATCAACTAAATTAGTTTATACCTAATGACAAAAAAAAAACTAAACAATCGCGTAAAATATGTGTAAAATACACATAAAAATAAATTTAGAATTCTGCATTTCCTTTTTTGAAATTTCAATGGATGAATAAATATTTATTTAAGCAGCAATATTATACTATTAAATTTGTAGTTCACTGGACCCCAAACTAGATCAGAGATTTGTAATTCTGGCCGCCATCTCAGATGTCGTAAACAAATTGTGATGGATATGTAAAATAAAATAAAAAGAAAATTAAGATAACAAGAATAAGTACCTAAATAGTTAAATTCTAATTCTCTGTAAATATTTACGCATGCCATAACAACCAGTAATTTAGTCAATACTATATACCTGAACTTCTTACAAGTAATAGGTAACAATAATACGTCAATAAGAATAAAAAGGACAATAAGAATATTAATACGTCAGTCTGTTATTTAACAGAAGGAGAATGTGGCGCTCTCAGAGATTCATTACCGGAGTCAGGTTGGCCGCCACTTTATATAAAGCGATGTCTTACTATCATCTTTGAAAAATGCTATTGGGATATTGCTTGTGATATAACAAATTAGTATGAAACGAAACGATAGGTATCTAGAACTATATATATAAATAGTATTGTGCGTTCGAACATTGCATGAAAAAAAAAAAAAAAGTAAAATAGTAAAATCTGCTTAATCACATTTCAATTTATTTGCATTGGGATTGAAAACAATTTCGACAATCGCAAAGATTAAGGACTCTTTCACACGGCACCATGGTGTTCTAAAGTAGTTCCACTCAATTTGATCATGATAAATTAACCGCTACTGTCGCGCCGTGTGAAAAGACCCTGTTACCTATACCTACAGTGTTGCATGGTCATACCTGCTACGGTATTTACTACAAACTTAAAACCCTTTGCTACAGAAAAGTAATATGTTTTCAATATGTGTCTAAAAGAAACGCACTCAAATCACAAGACAAGACTAGCGCGACCAAACGCTTAGAGAAACTGATATAAATTCTAAAAATCGTTACTTAGTTTTCTATTACGTTAATTAACCTACAATAATGGTTTTCCCCGATATATTTCATGTAGGTACAGAGAGCGATCATTAACTTTTTTATTATATGTATACACTATACATAAATCTACCAATTCAACGTTTTAAAATCATTTTGATAGTCAGTATCAGTCAGTAGTACAAATACTATTTTGCTCAGAAAATATTTCCATAAGTATTGGTTTAATGAGGGATCATATATTCATACCTACCTACTAGTGGGTAAATACATAATGTCGCAGTTACCCAATAAAGTAAATACTTTTTAAGTAACTGTTGCGAATTGCGCAACGGTTTCCGCAAATTGACAGACAATGCATTCTTTATGAAACTGATAGCAAACACTCTCAACAAGAAATAAATTACATGCATGAAGGCGAAGTGCATGCATTAAGTACGGTCAGCGGGTTAGATTGTGTAACTTACTACTAAATGCTACAATTTCTCATTTGATACTCAGGTTTTACGACTATATGTGATATAAATGTGCCTACCATTTAACAGTAACGATTATTGTTATACAATATAAATCCGATTGTAACTGTCAAATAGTATATACGGATATAAATATCCGAAACCTTAGTTCCCAATGAAAACTGGTAATAAGAATTGAGTTACATGCAATCTAACCACATGAAGAGGGAGGAATATATATATATAGGTACAAGGGTATACTAAACTATCGACTAAACAGCTATGTATTTATTTTAACTACTTACACAGCTACTGACTAGCATAACCTACGCGTTATGCGGAGCGAATATATTTCATTCGAATATGGAAAATCATAAAGGAGTAATATATTTAACCCTTTTGATTTTGCCGCGTAAATTAAGCTAAAATACATTTGCTGTATTTTTTTGAATGCAAATCTATATTAAATCTATTTCCTTGAATCAACTCTTAATCAAGTCCTAGACTACATTATGGTCTTCCCGTGTAATAAATTGCAAGTCAAGTGACTTAGCGTGAGAAACAAACATCTTTATAATTACGTATCTATACTCACAGACAAGTTTTAATATAATTAATAATTATACCTACTTAGGTACCTGTCTTGGGAAAACATTGTTTTCTAATAAGATTAGTATTAATTTCTCTCTTATTGAATATATGACTTGCAAGGTTTAGATATAATCTAATATCATATATAATCCACTATTACTAGTCATGTGGCATTCATCAACTCATCATGATGTTTTCTTTTTCAGGATCTGAATCGGACGTGAAGTTAAAAGTTCGCGTGCCGGTAGTCAGCACAAACGACTGCGCCCGCGTTTTCAGTAGAGTGAGCCGTGAAATCACCAATAATCAAATGTGCGCAGGCGGCGTTTCCGGTCAAGACTCGTGCCGCGGAGACTCCGGTGGACCATTGATGGGAAAGGTGGCACAAGTTAGCAACTGGATAGCCTTCGGTGTTGTGTCATACGGTCCTTCGCCATGCGGTACGCCTGGTTGGCCAGGAGTGTACACTAGAGTTGGAGCTTACATGGATTGGATTCTTTCGAAGTTGCGCCCATAAATATTAAGAACAATTGACTGATCAAAGATCAAAAATAAACTAGCACGTATAAGAGACTGAATTTAAAACCTTTTTACTGAAATATAAATGGTCACGTAAACAATAGGGCTGCCAAAACATAAATAAATTTATATCGACGTAAACATTTTATGAATGTTGTAATCTTTTAAGACTGTTTACGTCGCTATCGTAGGAATGTTTCTAATAACAATAATTGAAGTATAGTTGAATAGAAAATAAAATTATGTATAAGTTTAGGACGGTTATTTCTAATTTGCTAGAAAAAATGATTACTTTTATGGATAGCATAAAAGTATCTGATAAGAAAAATAATTTTGTCCTTATCACTGATACATTACTCGTTAGTGTAAATAATAGTAAAAATATGTATTGACAGCCCTGAAAAGGTGCAAATAAAAAAACCCGCTACAACATACTTACCAAGAAAATTGAGCATTGACGCTCAATTTAGTTGGTAAATATTTCTCAAATAAATAAAATATTCAATATGCTCACCTTACATAAAGTGTTAAATCTTAGTTAATATTTTTATGAGTAAGTAGTTACTTTATTACTAATACTATCCTGTCTCCGAAAAAAAATTGTGTATAAAAAACATACGATTGATTGTCAAATCTGCAGAAATTAAATAAGTTTGAAATTATTGGTTCATAGATATGTAAAAAACGTAGTATACACAACGAAAGATAAAAACCAACAATACTGATGCATTGTGCACATAACGAAATTCTCTCCGATTTATGATCAACTGCATTTTCTACTGACGAACAAAATAATTTATTTTTTTAATTTACAGTAATGTGTACAATATGCGTGAAATTCTATAAAGTAGAATTAATATAATTTACAGAATCTCTAGAAAAACAGCAAATATTTAGATTTTTTTAAATATTTGCATGATGGGCATTATGTATGTATGTTCAACTCTGGGTAGTACCACTAAATCACATTTATATTCAATCAGTACAATCAATTTAATTCAGTTATTGATTTATTTTCATTAAAAGTGTCACTTCAATATATATATATATAATGTCCATCTTGGATTTTAATGGGTAACATATTAATGAAATAGACAATAGACATACAAAAATAAATTTGATGTATAAGTCTTTATATTAACATGTGACTTTATTAAAATAAATGGGTACCTGTAGAATTACGATAATAAAACGAAAATATTGAAAATTTACTTTTAATAAAATAATAAAAATATGTAAATATATTATTATAAAGTTCTTAGGATTTATTTAAGGTACAGATAAAATGGCATCTGCTCAAATTTATTCCTGATAGTACGGACCTCTGCACGTCGTACTATCAGTCATAACATCCAGTCACAACATGACTGACAACTGATTTATAGATATCATCATAAATTCAAAGTTAGAAACATATTTTGATACTTACGTTTTTCGTAGTAATTTTTATAGTACAGAAGATTAATATTGTATAACTGTTATTATGGAATGCATATAGTGAATCCATACTGCCTAATATAATATCAATATAAATAATATATTATGATGATTCTAAAACCCTATAAAAATATAATGTATCTTGGCACGTAATACTCAGATTTGTACTGACATATTAAAACGTAAATTATTAACAATGTACTTTGACAAATAATACTGTTTTTATAGACTCTGATTGATGATTCAAACAAGGTACTGTGGGATATAAGTGAAATAATAATAAATAATGTAATATTAAACTTAAATACTATTTTAAGTATAGAACTTACTTAAATTAATATGACAAAAAGTTTACTTAAAATATAATAGCAGCATTATCAAAAAAAGAGCTAAAAGTACAAAAGACAACCTTGCCAAAATTAATAGTAATAAAATAATATTGCAAGTGAGTAAGAACATAATTAGGATACTAAAGATAATAAATTTCTGGAATGTATTAAGGAATGTTTCAGCAATGAATACAATATGTATATTTTAGCAATATTTACAAAGCTGTGAATATTAAATATTAAATGTATATGTATGAATGTCTTTGACACTTTTTTACCTATTTATTTTTAGTCCAAATGGCTCATATTCTTTTTACCTAATACATTTAAATAGCTTTCTCAGTAATATATACTTTGAATATTCTGGCAAGTATGGTATTAAATTTACATACTTACTTTTGAAAATATCACAATTACCTAATACTTATAACCTTTAAATCTCAAATACAAACTAAATTCATATGCAATAATGAATTATATAATTGCATACTTCGTAATAAATATAGATTAGTTATGACACTAAAAAACAAGAGATTCCAAAAACTTGTCAATATACCTTTACCTACACTTAAGAAGCAGCTGCGATCTCAACAGGAATATTATCTTGGGGGACACCTTGTTCTTCACCATTTGCCTCTACACTTTCTTCATGATCACCATTTGTATATGGTTCATTCTTCACTTTCTCATCTTCTGGAAGATGAGCTTCATCTACACCATTAGTATCCCCATTCAGTTGGGGCCCATTAATGATCAGATCTTGAAGTTTTACACCAAATTCTCCATCCATATCTGATACACCTTTAATCAGTCTATCTTGTTCTTCCTCAGCCCAAGTTGGGTACCATTCATTAAACAGTTTAATCTGTAACACCAATAATCCAGACTAACATCTTGTTTCGACTAAATTGATTTATATGTATGAATTAAGAAGATGAATTATTAAGAATAACACAATGATGATGAAAGCAAAATAAGAATTATAGGAGAATAATTGCAGTAAAGGTTAGACCTTGGACCAGGGATTATTAATTTCTACAACTAATTCAAATGTAATCTAGTTTCTAAATGTGATTGATAACAAATTGTTAATAAGGTACTCCTTCAAATATCGGAATAATTTTATCATACCCTGCATTGAAACAAACTGACAGGCTTGTCTTGACAAGAGAGGTTGGCCAGAGTTGCTGCCAGTTGATCTGGTTTATCTCCTCGTGCCGCAGCCAATACTGGCAAAAAATCTTCACGCTGAAGTTCACTGAACTCCCCAAACCACTGCAGCATATACCTAAGTTGGGCTTCAGATGTTAGGCCAGGGACTGACATTCTGTGGACTATACGAGTTGCACCTGTTCAGAGTTAAAAAAATATGTTAACATTTACAGCAATACGGAAAGAGTAACAAATAACAAGAACTAAAATGCATTTATTGTTATGATAAAAAAAATAAATATTACTTATTCTTTAACTATGTTACTAGTATGCAGTACAAGATGGTCAGAGCAAAGCATCATTCCTAAGAATAGGTTTTTGTAGTAAAAAATCTATTCTAGGCTAGTGCTGACTCATTCTAAAATTTATTTAGACTATGTATTCTAAATATAACAAACCATTAGTTGAGTTCATAAAGTTATTCTAGAATTTACAAATAATGTTTGGTTAATTGTCTTTATAATTAGGATATCTAAGAAGCCATTAGACATTTTTTTAGTCTTCTAATGACTTAATTGTTTGAACAATTACAGAGGATTATGAAATACATAAATTGGTCAATACTAAAAAAATAAGTTACTTATGTTGTTTAAAGTTAAAATATAATAATTTATTATAATACATAATAATTTGTTAATAATTTTCTAATCTATTTACTGATACATTTGAAATTTAACTCGCCTTCAGGAACCATTGTTATACACACTGAAGAATTAAGCAATAAATTCATTTCAGAGAACTATATTATGGCACTGATACGACACGAATTCCACAAATATACTTAATATTTAATGAAATAAAAATAAATATATGGTAGACGTGACTTTCTATTAGAGCAGCGTCTACTCGAATGCAATGTGTGAAGGTTAACCACCTCACAATTTCACCTTTCAACTACATTACATCACGCAATTTCACTTTTTAGATATTGAATTACCATTTTTGGATTAAATAACGTCTATAACTATATGTATTTGTGTTTACATAACACCACGTAACAACTTGTAAATATTTATGAGAATTCTCGTATCAAATTGATAATATAATACCTGCGTAGATACGGGTTTTACAATAGATTTTTAAGATTACATTTAATTAGAGACTAATTAATATCATACCTAGGTTGACAATGTTATAGTAACGAATTTTAATATACTGCGGCAAACAATAAATAAAGTGAAAGTGAAAAAACTGTATCAAATAAATATAAACAAGTAAGTAAACGTTGATCGGACTTGATCGCTAGTCGTTGTCGTCGATTTGTCATTTTTTATTTATCAGTTTTGTTGTCAACATTGTCATCTTGACTGATTGTCAGATTTTGGCAGTTGACATTTCACTGAACATTTGGGCTTAACCCATAGAGAAAATAGTATACTAATTCTACGGATCTATTGTTTCTATGGATGAATATATGGAATGGAACTCCCACCCGGGCTAACAATAGGTATACACGAGGCACTAGTGGATGATAATACGTTGAACCTGAAGTCAGGTAGTTAGATCAGTTACCCATAGGGGAAGAGAAGAGGAGGGAAGGGAATTGTTAGTAAAGTGGACTAATGACCCCATTGCTAGCAAAGTACCATGTCAGGTTGACCTTCACGCGGTTCCCTCTGGAAACCATCGTGTTAAACTCATGGTTGACTGGTAGAAAATGCCATTAGGTGTTAAGTCCGCCATATGTAATTTTTACCTGTGTATGACGTGCATTAAAGTTATTAAAATAAAATAAAAATAAATAAATTCCTGGTGAATTTATCACGACGGGCTAAATGACCTGACCTCATTCTCATTCTATCATCCTCCACTGGTACCCCGCCTGCGTAAACCAGTAGCGCAGGCGGGTGAACCATAAGGTAAAGGGCCATTGTATGAAACACCTTTTGAGTAGGAGTTGAATATTTTACATTGTTTAAAAAAAAATAGAGTTGAAACATTGAATTTTTCTAAGTTAATAGTTTGCCTGATATCTACTGAAGTGATAATAATTATTATCAAGTGAGTTTTAGTTGAAAATGCTAATAAATTGAATAAAATAACAGACAAGTACATACGGCCGTATTTATGAAACAGTCTAAAGCAACACGTACGGGTGTTCCATCGGGAATGTCCCAAATTATGGAACTCAAAATGAACTGAAGTACTCGCATTAAAAACATTTTTCAGTTACTAATTTATTTATTCATAGTATCAATAGTTTTATTACTAATTATTAATACAGTTAGATTTAAAAATTATACGAATAAACAAGCAATAAATAAATATTCACTTACAAAGTAAGTATGACAAAAACAGTTTCAAATCTTAGGATTAATAAACAAGATATAAAAACCAAATATACATTAAATTAAACCAAAAATTCAACTATTTCATTTCTTCTTTGATCCTTTGTAGTAATGCGTTCTCTAGTAGCTTTTTCCGTTCATCAGCTATCACTTTTTTCTCATTTAGTAATTGTTTTCTTTTATGTAGCTTTTCTTCTTTAGTTTTACGATCAGTTTCTTTTTTTTAGTCATATTGCATCCATTGATCATATGTGCCAGCAGAAGGTAGTTTGAGTTTACCTGATGACTCAACTTTAATCCATTTTTTCTTGACTTCAAATTCAACTCAAATATTAATTCATCACCAACATTACGCTTCAAAATATTAGTTAAATTTAGTCAATTTAAATTACTACTTTCATAAATACCAGAATGAGCTTCAGTAACAATATCTAAGGTTCATTATATACTATAATTTCATACAGTAATTACCTCAGGAATGGCTGCTTTGTTGAGACTGGGTACTGGTATTTATCAGAGGAGAATATTTATTAGAAGAATGACAATCATTGTTAAGTGTCATGTAATCATTAGTTTTATCATTCGACTTGATTATTAATCAAATTATTTTCTTACTGTTCTGTTCTTTCTCTAAAAATTAAAATTTACCAACGTCACTTCTTTGACAGTTAGTTTATTTATTTCAGGAAAACCAACCAATATCAAATTATAAAAATTATACCAAACAATCAAAAATAAAAATAACAATATAAAATAAATCTATAGAATAAAGATATCAAATTCTATAAAAAAAATGTATCTACCTACGAAAATTATTAATTTAAAAACATCTATAAAAATGTGATATGTAGGTGCTTCGTAAAAATTTTGAATTAAATAAAGTGTTATTAATTTTTTCAGGCAGGTTTTCCACTGAAGTATATGTTTTAATTAATATAAAACAATATTTATCATCCAGCTTATTCATTTTTGAGGTTAGTTTTTCATTTTCATAGAATTTTACAATCTATGTACATATCTAAATGCAAATTTTTAGAAATATAAACTGTTCTAACGTAAATTGCTTTGTTATAATTAATTAACAATGATTAACACGAAATTAACTAAATATTGTCCACTTTTTGCTGTTTCATAATTACGGACAACTTAGAAAATCGAATGTGAGGGGGATGTGGAACACTGAATATACTGTTCCATAAATACGGTCTGTTTAGAAATTTTTGCGGCAATTATGAAACACCTAAATAAAAAATAAATACCTTATTAAAGTACTTTAAATTCATTATCAATCAATAGATTATAAGTCAAACTTTTGATTGACATGTTTCAAGTATTTTTGAATCATTGACAAATATTTCAAATTGTTAAAACAATTGTGATGACACGTGTCATTCTCTAACTCTAAAAGACAGTCTTTTTTCATGCAACCTGACACGGGCATTTCATCTATTTTTTTTTTCTATACATTTTAAGGTGTTTACAAAAATAAATTAATTTAATCAATAAATAGGTTATTAAAGATCATAAAAATAATATTATATTCAATATTTATAATATTATTCAGTTATATTATTATTCAATTGTATTCAGTATTTATAATATTATTTTTATGATCTTTAATAACCTATTTATTGATTAAATTAACCTATATTGCTGGCAATGGGGCCACTAGTCTACGTTACTAACAGGGCTCATCCCCAATATGATTACCTACCAAGAGTATTTGCAGTTTATTTTCTTTACCTTTTGAATGATTTTTGTATTACCGATACTGTACCTAATATTAATTGAAATACAACGAATTTTAAATTATACTTGTAAATTAGAACTGAATAGTTTCAAATTAGTTTCATTTAAAGACAGACACATTATTGGAAATGTTTTGCTACCTACATTTTGAACCGTCTATATGACTGAACAACATTTCTAAACCCACTTCGTTGACCCTGTTCTTTAATCACTGTCCAACCTAGGCGGACATGATTGTTACTCGACGGTAAGTAATATAACATAACACTCTAAAGAGCTCGAAAGTCATTGCTGGGATTGCCATCCCCCTATCTTTCTCCCGCCTCAATAGTAGGTAAATTTGTGTAAATAGGCTTTGTAATAGGTTTTCATTCTTGAGTAATATGCCGCCAGTATTCAAATTAGCACAGACGTGATCAGTTTCATGTATAAACATGTCCAGAATATTATGTTATCTGTGTATACTTACCCACCTAGCGTGAGTACATTTTTAGCGCCGGCGGAAGTAGGTAGGTACCATTCCCTCATATCCGATAAAGAGGTGACTTGCCAGAAATCGTAAAAAAGAAAAGTACAAAACATAGTTAAGTAATAAGTTTATTTACAAATGTTCATATTATAACAAAAACTAATAACTATATATTTATATCTTATAAATTTTAAGTCTCATTAAATAATCCTTTTGAGTTTAAAGGAAGTTATGAATATGATAAAATTATAATTACCTTTGACAAAATAATCTTTAAAAATATATAGTGTATAAATTAAGTACTGTTACATTACATAATTTGTCAATAACATCCCCCACAAACTAATCGCTACCCTGTAGTATAAAAATGTGCAATAACTTTGTACTTCCATTAATAAGTGAATTACATTTTTTTTATCACAGACACATTTAATATTACAAGTATGTAGGTATTACATTATCATTCATGGTGTTTAAAAATGTAATATAATCTTTTGTCGGATTACAACTAGAAATATTAAGTAGCCTATAATTTATAGATGTGTATAGTAGATAGATAAAGTAAATATACAAAAATGAAGGAGAGAAATGTTAGTGGCATAAAGAAAGTATTTTTTCTAAACTGCGCAAACTGCACTTCAAACATAACTACAGAAAACGAAAGAGTACAAGTATAGAATTAGTATTATTTTGTTTAATTCCGCTATCAGTTAGTACGTAGGTATGTGTGAGACCATAACATTATACAGTGACAAAGTCTGAGTGTCACTAATAATAGCGTTATATTTAAACTTCCTTATGTACTTTCGCGAAAGACACTCGATTCTGAAAAATAAAAACTGTTCTTGCCTATATCTGGCAAGATACTACATACTCGTATATCGACAAGTTTATGCTTACATGTAATGTAAGCATAAACTTTTAAAAATGCCTTACTCAGAGTTTATCAGAAAGGTTGTACTGATGGATGATTGTACTGGTGAATATATTGAAACATCACTTTATTTCTAAATTACAACACTTTAAACATCTTTGTCCAACGAGTGTTGTCATAAAATTATAACATTATTTAATTGCACGGGGTTTGTCAAGCTCAAAAATTAACCTTCCGCTTTCCGACAGCATTGTAAATATCATCAGAAGTAAATATAATACAATATAAAAACAAAACAATACCAATCAAATATACAATACGATTTATTGATACAATATGCCTTAGTTTATATGAAATAATTATAATACATGAACATACCACTATTTACATCAGTAGTAGGTAATAATTATTAACATTCTGTAATACTATATTTAGTTCTTTAGACTTAGAAATTCATTTAGACATAATGAATCGCTAAGTATATATATCTAATAAAATATAAAATCGATAATGAAATTTCGTTTAGGATCACTCCTACCAAAGTTTACCAAGTCTGCATTAATTTATAAAATGAGTTAAGACAGTCTGTACAAATTTGCAGTTTTATTAGAAAATTGTTTCATTATTTTTAACATTGACATTCAAAATGCAGAGTGCTCTATTGAAAATTTGAAAATGATTCTACTTATATATCGTTCTGGCTTGACCTTTAGGTATTATAAGCTATTATTTTCTTTTGTACACAACATAGAAAATATATTAGTAAGTAGTAATATTTTTTATACAGTGCCCAGTAATACTATAAACTGTAAAGTGCTTTCCAGTTTAGTCGCTTTCGTTTCGATTAGCATTATACGATATTTTTTTTTTTCGAACTATTCTAATGCTGTTCGCCGCAGGTGGTCTTTACAGCTTCACCGAACGATAGGGGTGAATGCAGATCCAAAGTCCAAACGTACGGAAGGACTTATGGAGCAGCTGAAGGCCAACTCCTGCGTGACGGATACGACTTTTATCTGACCTTTCTGACGGGCACCTTTAGGGGTTCGAACCTCGGATCAGGCAGTCGTAATGTCGATCCCCGTTTTAATTGGACGTGCAATCAATCGGAGGGATCAATAAGCATGTAACGAAAATGCACAGACACGGTCAGAAAGCGCCCTAAGTAAATACATATTATACCTCCATTTTGCCGCAAGTTGCAACTGCTCATGTAAAATTATGTTTTCTAATACTTAAACGTAGGTGTATATTTACACCTAAGTGGTATAATATAATGATGACTAGATAGTTATAATCTTCATCTTCACTTTCTCCTTTGATAAAATATTTAGTGTCTAATCTACATATCTAACTGCTTAATCATACTCGTCATTTTCGTACGTGTGTTTTTAAAGTACGTTAGATATATGCAATGTAGAATTATGAGAAATATATGTACCTACAAACTTATATAAATTGTCACAACAGTTTATAGGTATTGTGTAAAAATTATTGTAGTTGTCATACGTAATGTTAATGTGACAAAGTATTAAAGTGCTTACATACATTCGCTCGCAACTGTACTTATAGCTACGTACGCAGGATGACATTAATAAGTTTTAGAACTAAGATTTTAGGTGTATATTATTCGTAGTTAGCATCAGTCTAGATTTAAATTCTTTTTTTCTGTGTTCTGTTATTAAAATAGGCACCCATAATTATAATATTTCAGCTCTGTATTGACAGCATGTCAGTCATTATGCTGTATTATAATATTCTCAGTATCATCATGCTATAAATTATTATCGTGGACCAAGTTATAACGTCATACTTTACAAAACAATGTTGTAAAGATGGCGCAATTTATTACCCGTGTAAGCGTACCTTAACATTATATTTACGCTATACTAGCTATACAAATATCACAATTTGGTTAAGTACCTACATAATTATCACTAAGATTACTAAATTAGTTTTTGCCGAAGTTCACTTGTCGTGAGAATGCCCGTGGTCGTGGTCATCCCCTCCTCCATGGGAATGGCTGTGAGAGTGGCCAGCTGCAAAAAATATATATCAATAATAAGTAATGTTATAAATATAATAATTAATACCTAAATACTTTGACTCGAGATACAAATTAAGGAATGTTCTGTCTAAATATAACATAACTACATACATGTTTACTGTGGCTTTATTAGCACGAATATACACGCATGACACTAAAATCAGGGGCAAAATTTTCTGATTTCAGAGTAGAACATTATAGTTTATATCAGGGTCTTCATTATATAACGATGTTCTATTATCATTTCAAACTGACCATAAAACAGCTCTCATTGTGAACAGTATCTACAACTTATCCAATCCAACATTTGGAATTCTCAAATAAGTAGAAAATAGCAAACCTTTCAATTTTAAACAATTTACATTGAAATTGATTAATAACATTACATGATTAATATATAGATAATTTCTTAAACTCTGGTCTGGTGGTCTTAAGCTCTGGACTATAGATTAAAAACAAAACTCTACATATATACGGAGATCATAGCTGATCACTTGACCATTTAACGACAATAAATACTACAAAGTGTAGTTTTATTAATTAGTTTTGAAAGTTATACTTATATTCTTAACGGCGTTTTTACTCTGAAAAAGGTTATGAAACACTTTGAAAGAAATATACTCACTTAGCAACATTAGTCCAAACATAAGGAAAAATCCGACGATTGACGCTATATACTGAGATATGCCCGTTCTGTCACCTTTCCATATCTCGAAGAATATGACATAAAGTAGTGTGCCCGAAGCCAGGCCTTGTAATACAACTGAGTATACTCCAGCAGCTGCAGCTCCCTCTCCTCCTACCAGAATCAAGCCAATGCCGATACCCAGGGGCGAAACCACGGCGAAAGTAGTTATATATACAACTGCTAGCCAAGTTTTTGTACCAGTGGCAATGAGTTCCACGCCGATACAGAAGGCAATGACTAGTTTATGAGCGGCAACCGCGCCTAACATGTACCTGTAAATAAAACGAAGTATTTTGAGTACCTAAATAAGTAAATGATCTAGACACGCGGTAGCGTGTCAAAGCCGAGTTTCAAGTAATAAATATTACATTATAATTAATATAACACGGAATAAGGGATATTGATTAATAATAATAATAGCACAAGAGGAAGCTACTTAGAATTATTACAAATATGAGGATATTCTAAAATAACATTTAAAATATGTTATAGTTCGCCGATTTACCACAGCATACATATGTAAAAAATATATGTGAACATATACAGTACCTATAGTAATAAGTAAGGGCAGTTTTTTTCTTATCCATTCCAAACGATAGAATAATACTAAATTTTATGATGATTGGTTAAGCCATATGCTATATTTATTTATTTTAATTTTAATTCGGATTACATCCATATTGTGTTAGTAAAAAACTTATAAAACTATGTTAGTAACTTTTAATATACAGATACGTAGATATATTTAATTCATATATCTGTCTATATATTAATTAAAATTTATACAAAATTATATATTTCTATTTGAAATCTGTAATATATTTATAGATTGGAATTTTTAGTCTGAAGTTTTCATGTACCATAAACGCCATCTATCGTTCGTCAGTATGATGACAAAATGAAAGCAAGCACATACAATACTAAATTCAGATCGTTTCACTACTCGTCTATAGATGGCGGTTTTCAGATTTATAATGTTGCTTATTGTGTTCATCAGTAATATGAGTAACTTTCATAGGACATGAGTACTTACCAAACATGAGAAGTACTAGATTCTAGGCCAACAGCCAGGCCTTCGAACAGCTCATGAATGGAAAGGGCCAACACTATCAGTAACCCACGTAGAGCTGACGTCACATCCTCCCCTTCTACAACCGGAGCGTGACTGTGGTGATGTGAGTGAGCATGTCGAACGTTTATTTCTGGGTCCTGTAAAAATAGTAAATTAGTCAGGTTATTATTTTATAGTAAATTCAAAGTATTTAAGTAATTTAAATATATTTTTCTGTGTACGATATTATTGCCTTTGTGTAGTAAGCCTTCATAATATCGTTTGAATTTTCCGTATCTGTACAATAATTTTTCATCTATATCGAATCACTCAAATACAACTTTGTGGTGGAAGAATGATCCATTTTTATTATTATTGTTAAAAAATATTGAAGATCAACTTGTAGGTTGTACCAACTCGAAATTGTGCAAAGGAAGTGGTTTTTTTCATGGGCCAGTCAGGACAACATCAAACAATCACGACAACAAAAGCAGGAATGAGTGAGGCATATAGTATGGTCGTCATAGTTCGAGTACATACTGCAACAGTAGCCACTTTCTATAAGATGGCGCATCAAATTTTTTACCATTTATATTACCTACATAAAAATGTATAAAACATCCTTTTCTTTCTTACCAAATATCAAATAAGAGAGTAGTAAGTATTCCGTACGTAGGGGAGTAGGCAAAAATAAACAGACAAATTGCATCTCTGTGTACCTACCCTATCTCTCTTCAATGCCTCAGGTTCAATTAGATCAGCGGTAGAGTTTGTGACGCTCTTTTCTCCGTTCCCGGCAGGGGACGGGCCACTTCTTCGCAAACTTAAGTTGCGAACTAATTTTTGATTCTTACTCTCCTTCTCCCGGTAATGTATGTATACATGTACCAGTTCCTCAACCAAGTACATCAAAAAGAAACCACAGCATGTCAGAAATGGCGTCAATGCGAAATCGAACTCTTTCAATCTGCCAGTACCTGTGAACAAGGAGTTTAGGATCTTATTGATAATGATTCTTATGTAGTAATAATAGTAATAACCCACGACAACTCACACACAGCCTTAGTTCCAAGCTAAGCAGAGCTCGTGTTATGGATACTAGACAACTGATACAATACACACATACTAACTATAGTATATTACATATAATATGAATAATTTAAGAAACTCTATCTAGGTAATTTAAAATGCTAATTAACAGTGAATTATCAAAACGGACTAGTGATTTTCTAGATTCAGCATAAAAATTAAACAACTAGGTACATATGTATTGAAATAATCGTAATAAGATATCTTCGAATGTTTGATCGGTAACAGAACAAGATGTTGTAAGTGGTTACCATCCCCAATATATGTACATGAGCACGGCACGGATGTCACGTTATCGTGTGAATCAAGCGTCCACTGAAATCCAGCTTTCAAAGCAAGCTTTTTGCCGCTCTAATAGGCGTGAGATTCAAGTCTATACACATACAACTTTTTACAAAGTCTACCTAGATACAATTATAATACACAGATGTTGAATTATATCTATTTTTTTTAAATCAGAAAACAAAATACCCAGTATAATTACGACATCATGTACTTGACAATCGGCAATATACATATAGCACACGATATGACATTCAAAATTATACGTGTGTACGCCTAATCGATATATAGTGTTCTATGTAGCAATCACAGATGCTGCGATTTCGCATACGACCGTCGCCGATACGACTTAACGTTACCTCGTCGGTACTGAGTGTGTTGACGAAATCATTATTATTATCAATCACTTTAAATGCATGCATGCTCTATGTATTATGGGCACCTTAAATTAATTAAGATTTGAAATATTTATGCAAAATAAGTAATTAACCACGACGTTAGATTATTAATATAAAGAGACTTATGTTTATGTTATTTGTAGTTGTTATTTGTAGGTTTATGTACACGGAAGACACTGTGTCAAATCAACTCTTTAGAGCTGGTTACTTTATAACAGTATGCTGGATGAGATATGCTAAAAAAAATACAGGGTACGTAAGCATGACAGCTTAGTCCTCTTACAACAGACAATTTAACTTTTATGTCGTCAGTGGAAATGGCACTGTCCCTTTTAGGCAACGTTTAGCAATTTTCATCTTTTCAGGTGTGCAGTCAGCATATTTTCCAGTTCATAAACAAATATACGTAATGTAAACAAGGAAATCGCTGCACCTAATTGAAAAATTCCTTAACCTTAAAATTATTCACAGTATAATTTATGTGAATTAAAATTTGACAAGAAAAACAGGTTGTTTCATTGTTCCTATATAAAGAATTTAAAAGGTAGGCCTAATCATTTTATTTCTACATTTGCATATACATGTCTACTTACTTTACTGATGTTTAAACCCATTGCAGTTTATATACTTAATAACAACATACGGTAAGGAGATAAGGCCCCAAAGAAACAGTTAAACAAATAAAAATAAGGAAAAGAACAACGTTTAATTACAGAGAAAGCTTGTATTGTTTCCACACAATGAAATATTATATACAAGTATATATTATATTGTATATATATATTTTTTAATTTCTATACAGTATACTTATTTATAGCATCGTCACTGCTTATAATTTTGCATGTGATTATCCCGATTAAGTACATTATATTACTATTTTATGCGATAAGCGATAGTTAATACTAATGAATGTAATAACATTGTTCAAGTTCCTAAATTATAAAACAACTACCAATCCACCTCGGCTTCATCATTTTTCTGATTACCTATCATGAACATACGGATAGAGGCCTTGGTGAGGTTGTTTTACAATATTGTCAATCAAATAATTGTAAAGTAATGAACAATGTTTGTATTCGCAAAAAGGAAATTGTTGTTAATGCATATAAAATTTATTTATTTTTAATATAGGACACTTATAATACCGTATAAATTATAAGGATGAGTACAAATAATTTCCACGCATTGTACAATACAAATAGTAGTATAATTGATGTAATTGACTATTTAAAATAAAATTTGAATTAAATGATGAATGTTTACGATTACCTTGTTATCGTGTTGTTTTGTTATGTCTTTTTAATAATGTAACTCCTAAGTGATATATAATTCAATTAGTTACTAGAATTTAATTAAGCTGCAAAATGTTACAAATATTATAGAGCTGCTCTTTTATAATAAGTATGTAGTTTCGGTTACGATGTAAGAAGCCATCAAAGCTCATTTTGCAATTGGTTACAAAACAGGGTTACGTAGACCGGTGGAAAATTTTTCATATGTTGGAATATTGGGATAAATAATTATGTAAGACACATCTATAACTTACTCACGTATTAAGTGACAATGTTGCCCAATAATACGATACTGTGAATAATTGTTGAATGTTTTTTGCGTAAAGGGTAGTCAGAGGGTAGTTAAATACCTTTAACACGTCAAAACCTACTATGAGACTTGTTACATATGAAATTTTATTGTGCTATTTTTACCTGGATATAATATGGATGTCATAGGTTTTCGCTTAGTGTATATTATAATGATAAAATCACTAACTTTGTGTTACATTTTGGGAAGAATCTACTATAATAACTTATAAATAAAACACTGGATATTTAACTCGAATGGTTCACTAAGGAAAAATTTGAAGAATTTAAACGCCATTAAATCGCTTAATAATTGGACACGCACGATTTAATGAATACTTGAACAGAATAAAAATGACTAGACCTGCATATAAAATTACTCAACTGGAGACTACTACTTTTCGATTGACAGAAATTTAATTTACGTTCAACTGTAATTGACAAATTAATGGAAAAGGATCTGAATATCCCGCGCACTATTCAGGCTCTATTAAATAATCAAGAAACTAGTAAAGCAATTAATCAATGCATCATCTTATAGAGATTGTATATTGATAAATTGCTTTAATATAGAAAAAAGGGTAAAAAAGATCTAAAAATAACGGCTGTATGCCTTTTCCAAAAAGAGAAATAAAATAAAATATTTTTTTATTGCGGATAAACCTTCAAAATGCAATTTAAAACGATTATTAGAAAATATGTCCAGCAGTGGACGTCTTCCGGGCTGCGATGATGATGATGATGATGATTAGAAAATATATAAAAAGCTAAAACACGTTGGTATAACAGTCCCATATTATATAGTATATATAGATTTTATAAATACAGAACGCGAAAAAGGAACTCGACATCGGCATTCCCTAACATTCTTAGTCTTAGCGAAAATTGACTAGCATATCAAAATTTATAAATTGTGGTTTTTAATGTTGAAAAAATGACAGTTTAAAATGACAACATAGAATGATTACCTACATAAAAATTTGCGATTAGGTATCATGTGTATGTGATCATAATTTTATTGATCATGGTTAAAGATTAATTGGAAATACCCGGCTACATAATAACACAGTTCAAGAGGTCATATTACAAGTTTACATTAGTAAATAAACATAACCTATCCATCCACGTTTATCCTACTTCTTACGATCGTATAGGAAAATTATTTATTTTTTAATCAAACGTGTTTGTAGATAGTATTTTTACTTAGTGCAGTTAAACATATATAACCTTATATGTATATGTTTAAAATAATTTAAAAAATACCGTATTTTTTTTTTCATAGTGAAGATCATCTGTACTAGAATTTATGTTCTATGTAGTGCTAAATCGTTATTAATTATTTTTAAACAAAGATTTTACTTCCATTATAAATGTAAATATTTGACACGTATATTTCCCATAGATATTATATTATATATTGTTTTGTTCTCCATAAGTATGTTGAATGAATGTGTGCAATTGTTAGACAAAAAAGCATAAATCAATTGTGCAAATATGTTAAGCTGGTTTAAAAACAATAGTGGTATCTACTTATTTATGATAGCAATACCCATATATGCAAATAAAGTATGTTTGTGCTAATAAAACATATATATGCGATGCGCACTGAATACGGTAATTAATTACAATTCATTATTGTTATTGTAATGTCTCATAATGCCCGTAAAACACATATATACCGACATATAAGTAGATGAATTACACATAAAGTTTAATTTTAACTTTTGTTTTGAAGAATTCCATACTGTTTTTATGAAACTTTTGTGACCTTTTGTACGCGAGTAATTATTTTTTTAATTATTGTCGCTTTTATTTTGGAAAACATAAATGATAAACGTACATAAATCTTTCTTTTACTAGATACTTTCGCTGAAGTAACAGGGCACTTATCTAAGTTAGTCAAGTTTTATCAAAGTTGGATGAATGGTTTAGGAACGCAGGGAACAAACTTACTAACATTCAATTCTTTTAATTGTATAATAATAATGAGACAATAAAATAATACTTATACTAATAAAACAAATTTGGTACATTCCGTACCTGTTGTATATAAAAGGAAGAGTTTCTCAATGTCTATAAATATTTTTTGCTTGCGTCTTATTAGTCACAAAGGAAACATATAATAGTCTTGAACTATATATATCATCTGACTGCCCTATCTGGATTCAAAGTTATGAGCGTAAAAGTACGATATTAAAAATCAAAATTACTTAACTCATGCAGGTCTATTACATACACTATTTATTAGTTAAATTAAATCCACCCACATGTGGATATAGTTTGATCCTAGAAGAACTGGCCAAGGAATTTTTCTTTATCTCTTTTCAAATAAATTTGTACATGGAGACAATAATATATGTTAAATATGGATGGTACCTCTTTATTTACAAATTACTGGAACACGCCTGTACCAGCTGTATATAATGCTAACCGATATAGGACGGCGCGCGGCGCGGCGCGGCGCGGCGCGGCGCGGCATTGTGCTACTTTGGCCAACCAACGAAAGACATACGCTGGCCTTGAAATCAACACGCTATTTAGTCGTTCCCATAACTACATACATAATTACAGCCTTGGCAAAGTCATGAATTCGTCTCGACTTTATTGTTTAAAGTTTTTTTTATAAGG